TGTTGTCTTTTTTCACTAGAAAATTAGTTTCATACCTAGAATTTCTTTCAGCTACTTACAAACTTAAAACTTCGTCTTCTGCTTGAGATGGTCTGATTTGTTTCTGTTGCTTGCAGACAATAAACCTGACTGACACAGAAATAGGAGCCAGGAGTGGTTGAAGTGACAGACAGCAGGGGAAATGGGCTGTGTGATTTGGCCTGCAAGGTGGTTTTGTTTTTGTTGTTTCTTAATTGCATCAGTAGTTTTAATTAACTAAGTCTTACACATAATGCACATGGTGTACATGGCTTCTGTACCTCAGTTGCTTCATCCAATCCTCAGAATGGAGATGCAGAGCTGGGCTTTATTATTGGCTCTGTTGCACAGATAAAGAAGCAGTAGCATGAAAGCTAAGGATGCCGGAGGCCGCATAGTGGGGTTGGGATTCCAGGCTGGAGGAATTCTGTTCTCACCCGGGAGCTGCAGGCCTGTAGCCCTTGGGTGGCCCTGGGGGAGCTGCTAAGCCTCTCCTTGACCTTGGTTACTCCTCCGTGCCGCAGCTCAGTGTGGGTGCAGGGCCAGGTGCCCGAGTGGAAAGAACCCAGAAAGGCCAAGCTGCTGGGTAGCGTGTGTGACTGGAAGGAACGACAGGATTTACATCTGTTCCTTTCAGCTAGAGGTGGAAACTAAACTCGGAGCAATGCTATAATTAAGCTAACATAATTTCTGTGTCTGACAGCCTTGGGCTGCGGGTGTCCTCAGGCCAAGTCACTATTGGATCTAGCATGAGCTGGTTGAGAGTTCTTGCAGGCCTCCTGTTTGCGGGTGAAGCTGTGGGTCAGGAAGGAGAGATCAGCTCTCCCGCACGGCTCTGCAGTGCTCACGAGGTCCTGAGTTCTGCTGTGCAGTCCTAAGCAAAGGCAGAATTTGCTAGAAAGTTTTCTTTTGATGAATGCCTTACAATCTGAACTTAAAATACTATGTACTGTGTATTGTAATCAGGGGAGTACTGGGGAAACCGGGCTTTGTGTTGAGCTACATCCCCAGCCGCCCCGCCCCGGGTCTTACTAAGTCACTGAGTGGCCCGGGCTGGGCTCAAAATTGTGACCCTCCTGCCTCAGCCTTCCAGAGAGCTTCATTTACAGGTGTGCGCCCCACACCCAGCTCTGTATGACTTTAAATAACAAATTAATATATTGATATGAGTTGGAGAATATGGTGCTGCTTAATGTTGAGAGTTAGAGCTTTTTAAAAGTAAAAATCAACCAGAAACAATTCAGTTCTCTGTCCCATAATTCAGTGCTTTACCTCAGGGTCAGGCCAGTGACAGTCTGTGGACCCCTGGGAAGCATGCACTCCAGAATCTTTGCTGACCAGAATCTGTTACAGCACACTTAGTGCTGGGGATAAAAGAAGCAAGTCTTCTGCCCCGTGCAGGTTACCAACACTCGAGGCTTTCTCCGTGGTGACTGATTCTAAGCCTTCTTCTTCCCCCCAGACTCTGCTAGAATTTGAATTTGCCTGAGAAGAATGTCTGTCATTCCTAACGGCTTCCCTAACTCTGCCCGTGTGCTTATCTTTATTTAAAAATGCTGGAGAGAGGGGCTGGGCTGTGGCTCAGTGGTAGAGCACTTGCCTCAAGTGCTCGGGCCCTGGGCTGGATTCCTCAGCACCGCGAAATCCATAAAGACAGTAGCTTGTGTACCACTGACATCCTGCGTAAGAATCGTCCCCACACTGGGGGTCACAGTGAGAGCCCCTGTTATTTTTAAGAGTCAGAGTGTCGCCCTCGGAGCTGGTCTGGGCTCAGCTGGGAGTGGCTCTGCCTTGTCTTTCTCATCCTCCTCTAGGGTCATCCTGGGAAAGCTCTTCTCGTGGTCATGGCCAGATTATTTTTGCAGTCAGATCTTATTTATTTGTCATTTAAGCCTTCTTATTTTTGACTGGACTCAGACTTGAAAGTAGAAGCTCTCAGAGAGGACAGCCTGTGTCTCTTGGGAATTTGTTCCTGGCATTTTCTGGGGCTTCCTTCATTTTCCTGGTCAGAAGTTTAGCGCACTCTGTAGCCTCATCCTTGTTAGCACAGTGCTTCCTTAGAGCAGTGTGGCCACGCTTATGTTGAAGGACAGGAGGAGTGACAAGACCCTGAATCTTAGGTGCGTGGGCCCTGGGTTCTTGCCATTCTTGTTTAAGGGCTTTCTGACAACGTAACATCATCTTCTTCAGAGAGACTGAAAAGTTTTCGGATTCTGCTCGCTCTTTTGAGTCCCAGGCAGAGAGGCACAGTAGTATCAGTCAAACCAGGAGTTTCCTTCCCTCCTTTTTTTACAGTAACCAAAGTAAGAGTACTGGCATCCACAATGCCACCCGAACAGATTTGCTCTTTCTCTCCCCAGTTCTCCTCGGTCTGTAACAGGAACGCCCCTCACTCGGTAGCAGGCACACTGGGCCCTGAGTGAAGATACCTGCTTCATGCAGAAACCCTGTTTGTCATTCCCACCACTGATTCGGACCACAGAACCCTTCCATTCTTCACCCAGAGTGTCAGCAGCCACTTCTGTGGTCACCCGCCTCTGTAGACAGTATGAAGTTCACGTTCATCGTCCACTTCAGTGAGTTTCTGGCAGCCATTGGCTGAGAAGGAGATGTTCAGCGTCATCCTGAGGCCACTGATCGTCCCCGAGTGCCATGAGAAAGAAGCCCAACTTCCACTTAGCCCAGGGCACATGGTGCTTGTCTGCCAGGGCCTGATCTTAAGAGAGCAGGCAGGAGCACGCAGGCCTCCTGAAGACGTGCACGGGTCTCGCATCCTGCTGCTTTCCTCTCATTCTGCTGACCAAAGAAAACCCCATGACAACGTGAAGAATGGGTGCTCTGCCGCACCCCAAGAGTGAGGCCTGGGGAAGCCTGGGGGTGTGGTGGAGGGAGGCTGGGTGAGGGACCCACAGCGCCGCCTGCCGAGCAGCCGGCAGCGACTGGATGGTTCTCTCACTCATCACAGACCTGGCGCCTTCATCATCCGTCATCCGCACAGGCGCCACGCCAGGAGTCTCCAGTCTCCCTCCATTGGCTCATTTGCATTGAATTCCCTGTTCATGCAAAAGATTTCATTGGGTTATGGGGCTTTCAGGAGCTTCCGATCTACATAGCAGCTGACCATGGACAAATATTTAGAAGATGGTGTGATAGCTCTAATAGCGAAAGTGCTTGCGGGATATAAAGGTTGCAGTAGAAGAAAGAAGCAATCAGTTCTGCTTTGTGAGAAGACATAGAATGCTTTGTGGGGGAGGAGAGGGTCCTATTAAATCCCACAGGGTGGCCGAGCCAGCATTCTCTGCAGGAAAGGTTCAGAGTCCTATTTGTGGGAAATACTGTAGCCGTAGTGAATGTAGTTAAACATCTCTTGTTTGTGCCCAGTTGTCCGAGTCGTGAGTAACTTTGCACTTCCTTCCTTCTGGTACCCATCGCGATTGTTCTCAAACTTTGGTACGCCCTGTTGTCACCTGGAGGCCTCAAGTTTGTGACGCGCTCCCGGCGGATGCTGGCAATGCGGGTCCGGAGGTGATGCTCCGAGCGGGAACTGCTGACTCGTTACCCTTTGCTGTGCACCTGCACGTGGCAGGATGGGGAGCACAGGAAGAGAGACACACTCCTGCCCTCAGAGGCGGGTGAGCAGACGTGTGTGCTGGGACGCGGAACGTGTGCACTCCACAGACAGGGCAGCTAACTCAGAATGAGAAAACCCCTCCCTCATCCTGAGCTGAATTAAAGCAAAAAAATTATCATAAAATATCAGAAAGCGGCAACAAATAGAAAAGTGAGCACAAATCATTCTTTGCATGGGACTGGGAAATAGAATCATCTCTCAAGTTGCCTTTAAGAAATTTCTGCTCAAGATATTGTAGGCAGGCTTTTGCTTATACAGGTTAGGACGACATGAATTTGAATTAGTTACTTTCTGGATAAAGGAGAGCCTTTCCTTTGCTAATTGGTTCTACTCATCTTTAGCTGATTTTTATGAAGGTGGAGAAGAATGTTATGTTTATTGTATGAGATTTTGTTCCTTTTCTTTTCTGTTTTACAAAAACTGCTAGAAAGTTTACGCTTGTCTGAATGCAGACAAAGCTGGAAGGGCAGGAATGGTGCCAGCTGGAGAGGCCGAGTCGGTTACAGCTGGACCTGAGCTCGGGAACAGGAAGTTGCTTGCTGCACTTGTAGGCTCCCGTGAGGTGGCTGACACAGTGGCATCTTTGCCTCCAGCATAGCACCAGGCAGGAATGGAGTGGATTCGGGGCCGTGGACCTGGCCAGGGTCACGTGGTCATGGTGCACCGGGTGGGAATCGGCGAGAACTGGCCTCAGGTACACTGGAGGCGGGCACCTGATGCCTTGTTGGTCAGGTGCTGTGCCCAGCAAACAGGAGCACATGAGGTACTAGCCCAGGTGGCGGGCTGATCAGAGAGACCAGCTGTACTCGGGAGGCTGCCTCAGCAGTAAAGACTCTGTCCTTCTAACGAATCAGTCCTGGATGTGCAGTCTCTCACCCAAAAGGATATAGGAAGAGCGGGATGTCTGACTGCCTACTCATTTCCACTTTAAAATCAAAGCATATGGCATCTCAGTTCACGAACTCAATTCTCGCCACGATTCTGGTCACAAACTGAACTGGATGAGAACTGGATCAAATTTCCCCACAAGGTCAACACTGATCCTCACAGTTGAATTTGATTTGGTTCTCATCCACATCGGTTTGCGACCAGAATCGTGGCGAGAATCAGGTTTGTGAACTGAGATACTGTGTGCCTAAAGCTATGGAGAACATTTCAGTTTAAATGATTGTTCCTCATGGTCAAGGGAGTGGAAGTCAAGAAACATTATAAATGGAATACCTAAACTTTAAGATGGTATTGGACAATTAACTTTCATTGAAGATGAACCATTAATGAAAATTATTAGTCTTTTCAATTGTCTTTTTGAGGTGTAATTTAACTAAGAGTAAATATGTAACTTTATCCTTAGAATACGTCTGTGGATGAATACACTGAGCCACACATCCCGCCTACCAAATCAAGTAGCAGACAGAACATCCCCCGGTGTAGAAGCTCCATCACGTCGGCAACGGACGAGCAGCCTCACATTGGAAGTTACCGTTTACAGAAAACAATAGGGAAGGGGAACTTTGCCAAGGTGAAGTTGGCCAGACACGTGCTCACTGGTCGGGAGGTAAGTTTTCACGATCGCATTTGGCCTGGGCCTCTCCAAGAAACTTTCTGTGAGAAAGCTCTGCTCATAGTTGACGTTCAACAGGTGCACACAGTGAACACTGGGATGCGTGCTGATGGGCCTATTTCATGACATCAAAGTTGGCCTTTCAACACTTAGGAAGGAATCATTTCAACACATTAGTGTTCCTTAAAAATGAGCTTTCTGGCCGTGTATTTAGCTCAGTGATTCCACCGCCTGCCTCTCAAGCACAAGGACCCGAGTTCGATCCCCGGTACAAAAAAAAGAGCTTTCCTCGGGCTTCTGTTTTATTATTTGGCTTCTGTGAACATTTCTCATTACCTTGCTACTCAGTCTCAGGAACAACACTAGGATAAGTTATTTATTACTCAGGTAAGTTAGGTATAAGTATGTGTAAAAATGTAGAAAAATCGCTCACCAATTTTTAATCTGTTTAGCAACCACATTGCTATACAGATGGTTTTCTCAGGTGCTAAGAGAATTGGATTTCTAAAATCCTATGTGTTTTAAATAATCTGTATTTATAGAGTAAAAATGTACATAATCACATATACACGTACCTTGGTTCATGAACACTTTTGTTCATGAACAATTTGGTTTGCAAACACAAGCATTTTGCAAATTTTTTGTTGGTGAACTCCACATGAGATGATGAACATGAGCACAGCCATCTTTCCCACACAAACAGAAACTTTGCTGTCTTTTCCAGAATCGTGGAATGAATGAAGTTCATGAACCGAGGCACTACTGTACATGCATTGAATACTTATGTCCATGGGTTGGAGTTAAAGACTTTATTTAAATAAATGTTCAATATTTTGCCTTATTTACCTGATTAGGGCATTATTTAAAAAATCTCAACCATAAAATGCTTTTTTACTATGTTTTCTCTTTAGTCTATACCTGATGTTATTGTCATCTCTGCTTGAATTTAGTCCCTTTCTCCATTCAGACTTCAGGAGCTGTTTGGACACAGCTACCCTAAGCAAAACCATTGAGGATATTCAAATCCATCGTCAGTTTGCAATAAGGAAGTTTGGGTATCCAATTGCTCTACCCATGTAGTAATTATTTTATTAGCATAATTTTTAAATTATTGTAAGTTTATAAGCCACTCTCCCCTAGATTTGCTCCTTATCAAGATCATGAGTAAAAAGATCAAAATGCAGGATGATTTTTACATTACAAGGGGAAACTCAGAAGTACCAAAGGGTTAATTTTATTGACTGGGGATCAAATAGGTTAAAGACAGGTCAATGGGATATACTCTGAGGCTGCCCAATTATCAAAACTTTACCATCCAGGGCCAGGGTTTTAGCTAAGTGGTTTCACTGCCTGCTGTGCAAGCACAAGGACCCGAGTTCGATCCCTGGTACCAAAAAAAAACTTTACCATCCAATTATGTATGTGAATGGTCAAATAAATTGAATATCATTAGGAATGAAACATAGATTTTTCTTTCTAGGTTTTTATTCATTAAAATATATAGCCTCAACTATAATGATTCTGTTTTTTAGGTTGCTGTGAAAATAATAGACAAAACTCAGCTAAATCCTACCAGTCTACAAAAGGTATTTAATTACTTTCATAAGTAATTAGAATGTGTTTATTATTCATATTAATATTATATAAAGTCAGTCATATGAAACTTTCCCATCGGTATAGTACTGCATTTCATCAGTATATTGATTTAGGGATGACATAAACACACTGTTTATGACTGATCAGATAGTTGCTTGAAAAATATCTACTATAGGCTGAGTATCTCTTACCCGAAATGTTTGGGACCAGAAGTGTTTGAGATTTCAGAGATTTTTGGAATTTGGAACATTTTCATAGACTATATTAGAATGTATGCACCATACGAAAGAAGTTTGTCTCTTTTAGTTAAGTAGAATAAATCTTTGTGTCAAATATTTTGAAGTATTCAGGATTCTTCTTAGTGAAAAATCAAGTTATGAATTAATATTGTTCGTAGGCGGGTTTTCTTTCATTGCTTCTCTTGGCTTCTCTTCACAAGAACTCATCTGTCAGACAATTCAGTATAAAAGATAGGAATGTTTCATCAAAGGTCAGAATGTAAAACAGCAGAAAGTTAGGATTGAATGTCACAGAAAGCAAAAGCCTTCTACTTCATTGTTTCAATGAGAAAATGTTCTCAGATACACATTTTAGCACCTTAAAAATGAAGCAAATCTTTTAGTGTTTAGGCCATATATGCTAAGTTTCTATATAGTGACAAATACATTGATTTTATAAGAATAAAATGAGATCGCAGTCACGTATGTAAATGTGACATCAAGGGCCAGGCTCCTAACCTGGAGATCTCATAAGAAAATTTTAGTATGGTGTGTTTAACTACATCTGCCATAGTTCTAACATTAGATTAAAAATTTAGGTTGGTGATATCAAAACTTTCATTTTCACTTGGCTCTGCTGGGTAACTCAGTGTATTTTTATACATTTCTTTTTAGAGATCTTTGTACTTTCTCGGGATTCTTTTTAAATTTGACAACCAATATAACTTTTCCTAGCCCTGGTATTTCTGATCAGTGAGGACATGGCAGGTTTTCTGGATTCTTCCTTTTCTGTGAATTGAGATAATGTATTACAGTCTTTTTTGGAGAAAGGCTGTTCTACAGCCAGTCTTTCAGCTGATTGGGATGCATTTGTGTGAGTGATGAAAAGCCATGCTCCCTGAACTGCAGAATTACTCAAAGATGCCTAAAAAAAAGAAAAAAAAACTGGGCTGAAGCCACAGTGGGACAGAATTTTGCGCTCCTGTATGCTGGAAGCCCTTTCAAAAGCCACAGTCTGCCTAGCTGTGCCCAGGGCACTGCCTGCAACCCACCTCGGCTTCAGCTTTTCCTGAGTTAAGCCCTGCATCACCTGGGAAAGAGTGGCTTTAACGACATCCAGAGCTTGTCCCTTGGGCCCCAGTAGTGTGACCCCAACCCGTGTCCTTCTCAAGGGTGCCACAGACATCACACAGCCATAATTTTGCTTATGAGATGAGAAATGACACTAAGTGTTGCTTCATTTATCTTTTTTTTTTTGTACCAGGGATCGAACTTGGGTCCTTGCACTTGCACAGCAGGTGGCAAAACCACTGAGCTAAATCCCCGGCCCTGTTTCATTTATCTTAATGACTGAAAGATTTGCTTGTGGCTGATAAATAATTTCTGTTACAGATTCTGCTAATCTTCACAGACAAAATGTGCCTTTTCCAAACAGGCTATAAAGAATGGTACTGTAACCTATGAAAATAAAAGCAAAGGAAAGACTCAGATTCAGTAAATGTAGCCAGTGCTTTGTATGTGTTGTTGTTTTTTAGATAATTTACGTTGATGTTCATAAGATACGTTCTCTGTTTAAAAGGTTTTTTGGGGGGAAATAGATCGAAGTTTGACTGGTTATCGTGGTGGAACATTTGACATCTGGGCTCCCCCATTGGGTCAGGAGCATAAAAATTGTAATGAAGTGAAATTCATTTGTTTTTCTGAGCATTATCAGTTCAGTTTTATAGATAAAAATAGTAGGGCTGTGGAGGTAGCTCAGTGGCGCCACGCCTGCCTGGCAAGCGTAAGGTCTTGAGTTTAATTTCCCGTACCGAAAAAGAAAATTAAGGAGTAGATAAAAATAGCAAAATATGCTTCCACTAAAGACACGATGATAGGATATTAAGAGTTCATTTTAATCCCCTTTCAGAAGGTTTTGGTTACATTTTATTCTGCTTTGATCTGTTTAAGCTGATCCCACTCTTTTATTCTCTTCTGTGTATAACACAGGAAATATTGCCCTGGACACCAACATCAGTGATAGATAAAAGAATCTAAATTTGTGATGCCAACTGTTTAAAACCACTAAGATATAAAGTTCTAAAAATAGTTTTGTCTTTGGAATCGCTAAGAATCTTCAACATTATTCTGTTCACGTAATATGCTCATATATTTGCATCGCATATTTTAAATAAATAGAATCCAATTGGATGAGTTTTTTTTTTTACCACCTGGATGCTTTTTTTCTCAATCTTAATTTTTATTAGTACATGTTCTCGTACGTGATGATTACCTTCCCTGTGGGGAGCTGGTGCCTGCCCATAAGGGATTCCACCCCTCTCCCTCCCCGCCCACCCCCCCTCCATCTCTCTGTCCCTTCCCCTTTGAGAAAGATCCGTCTCCCTCCTTCTGATCATCTGTCTTTTATTTTGCTCCTTATTTATACTTTGGGTTTCTCATATAAGAGAAACCATGTAAAACTTAAGCTTGTATGTTTGGTTTATTTCACTTCACATTATGGTCTCAAGGTGCATCCATTTTCCTACAAATGACTCAAATTTAATCTTCTCTATAGCAGAGTGCTACTCCATGGTGTGTAAATACCACATTTTCTTTATCCATTCATCTGTTGATGGACATGTAGGCTGCTCCCGAGATTTAGCTATTGTCAGTCGTGCTGCTATAAACATGGATGTGCATGGATCGCTGTAATGCGATGTCTAACTCTTTCAGGAAGATACCTGGAAGGAGAATAGCTGGGTTGAATGGAATTTCTAGTTCTAGTTTTTGGAGGCGCCTCATACTGATTCCCATGATGGTTGTGCTAGTTTACATTCCCACCAGCAGCGTGGATGGCTCCTTAGACGTGTTGGAAGTGGGTGCTGTGTTTTCTTGTTCCTTGAAGCCTGAGCCCTAGCTCAGATGTTGCGGGTTTTGGGGAATGGTCCATGGCCATCTGAGTCACCTTGGTCTTCTCGTAAGCAGGCTATAACATGGAGGGAAAGAAGAGCAACTGCACAGTTTTCTCATAGCTTGGAAATTTCAAGTGTAAGATTAGTTCTTTTCCCAGAATCCCTCTACCCGTGAACACGGACGCAGCTGCTTACACACAGCTGGCAGCGTTGCCACGCATGTGGGCCTCAGCGTTATGGGCGTCACTTCATCTCTGCCAGAACCTTCTCTACCTGTGCATCGTTTACAACTGGCGTTTTCTCCTGTTCACGGGGTTGCACCACATTCCCAGTTTACAGAACGATGTAGGGGCCCGGAAGTCAGAAGATTTCCTAACTGGGACGGCGTGAAATGAAAACAGACACGCCGACCACTACTCAGCACTATGTCCTTATATGGCACAGAACCGGCGCTGACATTACGGACCATGTGATAGGACACAATTCCGCTGAAGCAGGAGTGTAAACACTCGGCAACTGACATCTTAAATTAGATTTTAGTGAACAAATAATCCCTTTAGTGCTAGTATCAGTGGCCCAAACCTTCTAAACTTTGTGCTTTCAGATACTGCCCAGACATCTCTGGTAAGCTAATAATGCCAGACAGAATGTCTACAAAATAATCCCTGTGGTGTGGAAAACTTTGATCACTTAAGATAGAGAGGAGAATGGAATCCCAGACGCCATGTTCAGAATTCAAGGTCTCTCAGCAAAAATATCCCTGAGCCAAGTATGCAAAGCCAGTCACAAAATCTCTGGCAAATACTTTGGTTAAGCACTTCCCCACCAAAATGGTAGTTGAGAGGAGAGAAGGCAAATACTCCACAGTGATGGACACTATGGACTGTGGTGAGTCCTAACCTCGTTCCTACCCAGGAAGGCCCAAATTGGACAGCAACTGCCCATAAAACTGAAGATTTCCAGGGGCTGGGGGTTCAGCTCAGTGGTTCCAGCGCCTGGCTTGCAAGTGCAAGGATCTGATTTCTATCCCTGGTACAAAACAAAACAAAACAAAACAAAACCCCTGAAGATTTCCTACCAGCCTCAGTTATCTGGAACAGAGCCAAGAACCAAGAAGGAGGCTGTGGGGGCTGGAGGCGGTGAGGGCTGTCGAGTGCAAATGGCAGAGCCCCTGCCTCCACTCAGCTCTCCCTTCTTCCTGCAACACGCGGTTTTAATGGACTTTGGCCTTCATTTCCAGCTCCTAGGAGCCTGAGACAATTTTGCAGGAGGTGGTGAACTTGGCTCGGTAACGGAACTTGTGGACATTAAGCAAGCACTGTCACCCCATCCCGGTTGGAAACTGAGCAAGAGGGGCCGGGGATGTAGCTCAGTGGGTGGCCAGCCCAAGGTCCTGAGTTCGATCCCCAGTATCGCAAAAAAAAAAAGGAAGGAAGAGAGAGAGGGAGGGAAGGAGGGAGGGAAAAGAAACTGCGAAAGGAAAAATAGAAACGGAGGTGAGAATCAGAGACGCAAATGCTGGTGTGGGCCCAAGGCACCTGTTTTCTTGCTGTGCCCAGGCCGGCTCCGAGATCCCCACTCTCCCTTCTCCGGGGTGTCCCTGGCCCTCGGGCTCGCTCAGCCTACTGTAGACCCCGCCTGGAGCCTCCTGTAGGGCGCCGGAGGAAGGCGGCTGGGGCGGACAGCTGTCCACTCCCTGGGCCCCAGTAAGAAATCATTGAAATTTTTATTTTTTTTTGGTACCAACTCCGGTCCTTGCACTTGGGCAGCAGGCGATGAAACCACTGAGCTATATCCCCGGCCCCAAATTCAAAGTTACTTTTTGGGGGGGGGCGGGTATGAGGGATCGAACTTGGGTCCTTCTGCTTGTGAGGCAGGCGGCGGAACCACTGAGCTGAATCCCCAGCCCCCCCAGTAAGAAATCAGAGGCTCCACAGTGCGAGGTGCGGCTCGGCTCGGCTCGGCTGGTGGCCCTCGGCAGCCTCTGGGAGGCAGCCGCCCTGCTTCCGAGGACGCGGGGGCCAGCCGGGGACCCTCGTGCTAGGCGGGTGGGTGAGGGCGGGCGCCTCGCAAACCGACTCTGAGGATTTTGAAACTGAAAAACCTGACTAAAGCAGGAGCAAAGCACCTGAACAAACACCGCGTGGGACCTTGTGCCCTGGACGACACGCCTCGGCGCCGGCAGAGCAGGTGAGGCCTGGACCAGCGGGCCTCCTTCGGGCTCGGGAGCCATGGGCTTCCTTCCCGCTCCCCTGAACCCCAAGTCCCTGGGATCCGGCAGCCCCACTCCTGAGTCATCACCAAAGGAGCTGAAAATGTGCATCCATATCAAAACCCGCGCACAAATGTTGATACCAGATGATTCTTAGTGGATACGACCTGGGAGCCACCAGGCTGCCCTCCAGAGAACAGATGTGGTGCGTACCAACGGTGGAATATTACCCAGCCCTGACAGGAGGTGAGGTCACAAGCCACGAAAAGATGTAGAGGCACCTGAAGTGCATTTTCCTGAGCGGAAGAAGCCCAGCTGAGAAGGCCACACTCTGTATTAGCCCACGTGTGTGGCCTGGTGGAAAGCAGAGCTGTGGAGAGGCTAGGACCATGAGTGGTTCAGGGGCCGGGGCAGGACCGTGGGCAAGCAGGTGGTGTGCAGCTGTGTCTAGCACAGTGGGAGCTGTTCTGCACGATGCAGGTGGTGGCTGTGTCATCATCCGTTTGTGCCAATGCGTGGAAGATGCCCACAGGAGCGATGCTGATGCTGGCTCTGGGCGCCTGTGGTGGCGGTGAGTCCGTGCTGTTCGCTGATTGTCACAAAAGCACCACTGTGGCCTGGGGCTTTGACGGTGTGGGCAGTGCGTGTCTGGCAGAGGTGAGCAGGTAGATGGGAACTCTGTACTCGTGTGTGTGTTCGTGTGTGCATGTGTGTGTGTGTGTGTGTGTAAAACAACCCCTGGTTCCTGTACCTGAGGAAGGCCTTGGCCGGCCCTCCAGCTGAAGTATTCACAGTCTATGGAGCCCAGCTGCCTGCTAATAGTTGCTTTCCCAACCTGTGGGGCTGGTTAGGAGGTGAGGGGTCCAGAACAGCCAGGGCCGGCTCCCTCTCAGGGATGGGACTTCCAACTCAGCCACAGGGCTGCGGCCCTTGGGGCGGTGTGGGACGTGCTCAGTGTTTCTTCTGCACGGGCCTTCAAATGCAGGGTGAGGTGGAGGCCTGGTAATTTGGCGAGACCTAACAGAACTGCAGATGTGACCACCCCACCCAGCAGGAGTTTCTGGATACCTGCTTTAGGGAAGCAAATCAGAAATGTTCACTGTAGCATGGGTCACGTGGTTTTTAGTGGAAGAAGTTTAAGCACCCTCGGTAGGATAGTTATAAACTATGGTTTCTTTATATTATGTAACAGAACACTGCAATTAAAATAGATGGACCAGATCTCTATCTAAATGAGGATGGATCTCCAGACATGATGCAGCGAATGAAAAAGAGGGTTAGAATGAGATTTTCAGCATGATTCCATTTATCTAAAGTTTAAAACACAAAAAGTAATGAGTAACATACTTATACGTGTAGAAAAATTATGGGAGTACGTGTGATGGATGGTGTGTACTAACCTCAGGTCAGGGTTATGCCTGGGGCGAGAAGGAAGGGAGAGGTGGGATAGGTCCTCGTTACAAGTGTAATGGCTGATGCCAGTGATACTTCGTGAAAATACAATTATTAACATTTATTGTTTTTCTTAAAAACAAAAATGCAAATGTAAATACTTAAAGCAGAATATTAACATTATTTGTTAAAAGTGATAGATTCGGAGGTGCTATATTGATTTTTAAACTTTTCAACTGGTATGAAATAGTTTATAACCCTACAGTAGGGAAAAGAACATTCATTCCAGCCTGAGAGGGACATTTCACCCCAGGCCCTGGTGGGAAGGAGCTCAGTGAGTTTAAGGACTGAGAGAGATGCTGAGCGGCTGGCGTGCAGTCCATCCAGGAACAAGAGCATCCTGACAGACCAGGGAGGCAAAGGGCTTCGATCTCAGGGCTGGCCACACACGCTAAAGATCATGGATTTTGTTCTGGTGGCCTAAGGAGACCACCAGTTTGGTATGAAGAATCATGTGTTGGGCTTGAATTCCTGAGAGACAACCAAGTGAAAATATTGGAGAGGGTGGAGATGCGTAGACCAAAACTTTAGGATAAAAGCGTGTTTGGGATGAAGAGTTAAGATTCAGTCAGCAGAAACCCTGTGTATCTGTCAGCTTTCCTGTCCCTAAGTGTCAGTACTTGACAGTACAGCTTAAAGGAGAGGTTTAATCTGGCTCATGTTTCAGGGGATCTAGTCTATGGTCAGCTGGCTCCAAGACAGAAACAGCATGGTGGAACACCATGCTAGATTCAATCCATGACAGCCAGGAAGCAGAGAGAAGGGAGGAGCCAGGGGCAAGAATGCATCCTTCTAGGTCACATCCCCGTGACCCACCTCCAACCAGGCCCCACCTCCTAACAGCACATTGAGCTATGAACTCATCAGTGCATGAGTCCACTGATGAGCATAGTGCCCCATGATCCAGTCACCTTCCAAAAGCCCCACCTCTGAACACAGGGGACTTTTAAAGGTGCATTTTAGATATAAACCATGACACCATGATAAAGCCCCCAAGAAGAGCAGGTAGATTAGGGGGCTACAACCTCAGCACTGAGGAAGTCCATGTTTAAACACTGAGGAGAGGGTAAGGATCTGGCAGAAGACAGAATGGCAGTGCTGTGGCCGGGAGGAAGACGTGGGCAGTCACGTGGGAAGATGTGCTGTTGGAGCCTGGGAAAACTCCTGGGTGGCCACCCCGAGATTCCCAAATTTAAACAAAGAGTGCGCTTCACAGTTAGACTAGGAAGGAGCTGTCTTGAACGTGAATGAACTTACCTTTTATATTCTTACTGGCATGCAGTTTTTAAATTATTGTGTCTTCATAAAATGTATTTCTATGGATGTGTGCACGTGAAACACAGAGAGACTTACGTACTTCCTGGATCTTATGGAGCCATTGTTGAGGGCCGATAGGACAAGCTTCTCTGTTGCAGCTAAGCCTTAAGGAGATTTTTCCATTGGGATGGAGTTTTATTGATGTATTTTTGCATATTTTATATCTTTTTAAAGGGTACGATAAAATATACACGACATTTACCATTTCACCCATTTTAAAGCCCAGTTCAGTGAGGCTGAGTGCTCTGTGGCAGGCGGGCCTGTCCAGATCCAGACTCCTCTCCTTCCCAGCTGACGCTGTGTGCTCACCAAGCAGTCCCTCCCACCCACCCAGCCCTGGAGGGGCTAGGAAGTTAAATGCTGGTTAGTAGCTGATTGGCTACCCTGTTCAGGGACCTCAGATAGCAAGGCAGTCAGCGCCTGTCCTTCTGTGACTGCGTTATTTCACGTAGCATATGGTCCACCAGGGTCATTCATGTTGCAGTGTGTCAGGATTTCCTTCCTTTTTAAACCTGGACAGTACCCTATATACTGGACTCAGAAATAGAATTTCTAAGTCGTATGGTAAGTCTATTTTTAACTGTTTTAGGAATATGGTTTTCAGTACAGGCTTCATCATTTGACATTCCCAGCAACAGTGCAGAAGGGTTCCAATTTCACTGTGTCCGACCCTTCTATTTTTTGTTTTGTTTTGTTTTGTTTTTTCTTGACACAGGGTCTCACTGAACCACTAAGTTACACAGGCTGCCCTTTCACTTGCCACCCTCTGGCCTTAGCCTTGCAGCGTGCTGGGACTACAGTCGTGTGCCTGGCTTAAAAAAAAATAGTCGTCCAGCGGAGTTCGAGGGGTATCTCATTGTGGATTTGACTTGTGTTTCCCTAACATCAGTACAGTCAAGCATCTTCCCCTGTTCTTTTTGGCCATTGATAGATATTCTTTGGAGAAACATCATTTCTGGAAACACTAATTTTAAATTTTATTCTGACAAAACACATGTCTTAATATAGACTTTTTGGAATATCAACTCTTGGTTCTTCTATTTTCTTGAACAAATTGCTTGATTTCAAATCTGACATATACTCAAAGACAACATAGAGGGGGAAATGCCAGATCATACTGCTGTTCCACGAGTCCAGTGCTCCTGCATCTCTCGTGAAAATGAAACAAAAGAGATGACTTTAAGGAGTTGGACCCCCAGGGAAGGCCATTTGAGTAAAGGTCACAGGGAGGGCCATTTAATTCCATTTCCACGGTGTTTGTCTTTTGTTCCTACTCATGGAGGGTCACTGAATACACTTGATTTTAGCCAAAAGGCCGGGAAGCCAGGAAGGGTCACTGAATAAAGTGCCAGTTCCCTGACGATCAGCACATTCACAGCCCACATGGGCACAGAGCCACTTGAGTTAGTCTAGTTATGGTTCTTCTAGAAACTCAGTCTCAGTGAAGTCAATATCTTTATATGGATTGGGGGCCGAGAAACAAGCCTCATTTCAGTTCATTGCCAGAATCTTGCTGCGTCTTCTGCACAGGTGATTAAAGCATATGGATGCTTTCAGTGGCTCTCTGCTTGGGTCTTGTCTTTTAAATGGAAATGTGTCTCCCTGTTTTCTTTGACAGTTGTTTCGAGAAGTACGAATAATGAAGATATTGAATCATCCTAATATAGGTATGAAATTTACATACATGATTAGTGAAGAATTATTTTCTATAATTTGAGGATATTTGAAAAGATACACTTTTAAGAATGCTTTGCATAAATAGAAGAAAAGTGATAAATTGGGTAAGTGACACTTCGGTTAAAAATAGATCATAAGGAACTTCACTGAAGGCTACAAATTGCTGTTTTCTACCACTTTGCTGTATTTTGCTCACAATCCAAATAATTGTTAAAACTAGGAGTTAATGCATTCAAATGCTTTGTATCTTCTTGTAGATCTCTCCTTATAGAGAGTACGCATGTACTCATTTAGGTATTTATAAAAAATGAATTCCAGATATTTTAATAATATGTGCTCGAATTTGATCATAGTTTATAAGCAAAATAACTACCTGCATTTTTAAAGAAAACAGAGAGGATTTCGATTTGTTGAATTTTAGTAATTTCTAATTTCCCCCATCATTACAAATACATTTATTGATTAGATACATTATTATTTAAAATCATTTGATTGGTAGTAAAAAACAGTTCTTTAAAAATCTGTTTTTTTTTCAAATACTTGTTTCTTGCATATTTAAAATTTTTGTCTGTTTATAGCTATTAGTGTGATTATGAGTAGTAAATAATTTCAACTATATGAATCTAATTTTGTTTTTACCGGAAACTTTTGTAATAGTATATAGAGATATTTTGCTTTAATATCAAAGATTATTTAACATTTTATGATATGTTATTATAGCCTAGTCTCTTTTTAAGCATTTTAAAATTTTGTTTCTCTGATTTTAGGATTTCTCTTTTTATTTTCTTATTCTGATTAGAAAATATATGGTTTTCGAATCTCAGAAACTTTTTAACTCAAGAATTTAATTCTGAGTCACTTTGTAGAAATACTTTTCTTCTATAGGAGTAATAATGCTTGAGAAACTTTTTGAATTTAAGATTACAATTTATCATTTTTAGCAAATACTCCAGTTTTTCACTAGCTTTAGTGTTACCTTAGGTTTATTTAAAACACACCCATTCTGTGCTAACAATTATAGAGTTCTATCTCTAATTTCTTTTTCCAGTGAAATTGTTTGAAGTCATTGAGACAGAGAAGACCCTCTATTTAATCATGGAATATGCAAGTGGCGGTAAGGCTGAAGAGGATGGAAGCAGAATTAATAATACTAGTTCTGTGTGGCATGCATATAATTTTATTAAAACACCTTTACGTCATAGCTTTAGGGAGATTCAGTGTTTTTGCTTTCAAGACTTTTTGATCCTTCCATTATAAATAGAACTTTTGGATTGTTTAAAAAATAATTAGGGGGATTTTTGAAACTCTAAATGTGTTCTGTCACCTTATGAAAACTTCAGTTTGCTTATTTACATATAATAATAATCATCATATGTCATGATATTTTGATTGGGAGCTCTTGGCTATAAGCAGGTAATCTCGCATGCAGAATATATTTAATAAAGTCCATAGAAAGAGTGTTCTAGGTCAGATGTCTGTTGCACTAAGTGTTCATATATGACAGATTCTTAAGATACTTACATCTTCAAGGTAATCCATAAGATGTTCAAATGTAAACAAGAATTGATGTGCATATTTTTTAAGTTGGAGAACTAAATTGGCAGGGACATGGCAAGACACTTCTGTTGTAGACTATAATTTATATTTTGGCTCTCAAAGTGTCAGAAATATTTCTTAAATAACTTATATACAAGAAAAAAATCAGTTTTATCTCCCATGTTTTCTCTCAAATGAGAGACAAATTGACTCAAAATTATTGTTGTTAGTATTTCTCAGAAAGGTATTTAAAAGTTTTGGAGTTAAAGAATTTAATAAGTAAAGAAGGATACTTAAAGGCCCCCCAAATTTAAGAAATTGGAAATAATAGAAGGCAGCTGAAATTATTTGGCTGATTAACCTTCTGCTAAGCAATAGGAAAACAGTGTGGAGCTTAATATAGTGCTCTTAACTAATAAAGTTGATAGATTTTTATGTGATGGAGATTTTATGAAAACTGGAGTAAAGAGGATTTATTTCAGTCTCTAGCATCTAAACTATATATTTTTATATAGTCGCTCATTTCAAAAAATTATAAACATTGAATATGTTTAACTGGTTTTTTATTCATGTGGATTAAATGTTTTAGTAGATTTGATTTTTGCAAAAACGTTTTTTACCCTGAAAATATTTCAATTTAGTTTTTTTAACTTAATCTGAAAACCTTGCTCATTAGTGTTTATTATTATAGGATTTTAAAAATTAAATATCCAGACACATTTGCATAAAATATAGGTCTGTAATAAAATTAATAAACCTTCAAATACCACGTAATGAACTATTTACTTTTCTGTCCTTTAGATTTGCATATCAGTCTGTCAGCATGGGAACCCTGAAGGTTATTTTCAGTTCACTTTGACTCTTTTTTTACTTTCCTGCTAGTGATCCAAAGTTTAGAGAAAGGTGTGAGGAATCCTAGGCACTGAGAGCCACGGCCCCTCCGCGAGGCCGTGCTAGTGCCACGCGTGAAGATTGACGTGTTGATGGCATGTGCAGTCAACTCTCTATTGGTGCCAATAAAGGGAGCAGTGGCCAGGCCAGCAGTGGGGACGCTGCCGCCCTCCCGACACAGCAAGGCTAGTGGGGAGCGGGAAGCGGCGTGGAGAGGCAGCTCCGTCAGCCCAAACCGGCGCCTCCTTGTTCAGTTTTGATTCCCGGCACAGATTTCCCTCGGATCTTGCCAGTCAGCCGACCTGTGGCGAGTCCGGAATCTTTCTTGCCTTTGCAATCCGTAAATGGCAAGGTCATGTTGGAAATACAGGTGTAGAGTGCGGCCTGCACACTGGGCGTCCAGTGTGGCAGGGCCGAGGCCAACAGCGCTCCCTTTGCCGGGGTTGCTTAGTCGGTTCTGGTCCCCAGTGGAGCGAAGGTCTTCTTCATCCGTCCCAAGTCAGGGAAGACCTTCATGATTTCGAACTGTGTTTAATCCAAGGAGCCCATTACAGGGAGGTGTCGGTCTGCTCTGGACGGTGTGTTTACCCTTCTTTCCTTCATGGAAAGAGCATTTATGAAACGCTTCCCAGGCAGCACCCTGGGAGCTAGGAGCACACGGGTGAGTGAGATGGCGTGCTGGTTGGGAACCAAATCACACGTGATCAGTACATGTCCAGGGTCTGAGCATTCTAGGTGTAACCTAAGAGCAGAACCAAATCTTTGAAGTCCTAAATATATCTTTCCCAGCCTAAACCCACAAATCTGGAATTAGCGGCTCTGATGGGCTAACAGAAATTAACAACTATTAACACAGATCTAAAATTAACTGCTTAGATGAGTCAACTAGGACTTCTATTCATTTCTCCATTCTCGTCATCCCATTTAATCGCATCAGTATGCTTGATACAATATGTAGGTGTATCAGTTTCATCTGATGTATTTCCATCGCATATTTGACTTTTAATATTTTGCTTACATCCTAGGGTTGATATTGTGGATGTATCTGGAATACACCGATACACCTAGTACAAATGTATCATTTATTGAGTGCTCACTGTATGCCAGTCACTGCCGAGCACATCCGTTACTCCCTGTGTTCCCTACAGTGGCCACTCGAGCAGGCGGCAGGGAGAAACTCAGTCTTAATGGAATTTAAGAAACCTTCTTATCATCTCCCAGTCGCTGCTTAGGGCTGGACCTGGATTCGTACCAAAATAGGTCTGATCCTAAAGCCTGAGTTTTTAATTGCTTTCCTGTGTTAAACAGGAATTCTTTAAAAACCACTTTGTAAGTTTTTAATATACATGTATATCTGTATGTTGCAAATTATAAGTATACTGAGATATTTTATTTCTAATATTGTAATTAAAGATTAATTTGTTTTACTAAACTGAGCAGAGAAAAGTTTAAAACATAAATATGTAAATAAATGAATCTAATAAAAAATTTTCTCAGCCAGGTGTGATGACACACGCCTGCAATCCCAGCACTTGGGAGGCTGAGGCAGGAGAATCACTGTGAATTCAAGGCCAGCCTGGGCTACATAGTGAGTTCAGGGCCAGCCTGAACTACAAAGTGAGACCCTGTCTCAAAAAACCAACAAATTTTTTTTTCTCCAACACTTAGTTATTTTTAATTCTTTGAATGAATTTATTACATATCCACTTGTGTTCTGTCATAAAGAGTATACAAATGAAGTACAGATACCATGACAATATGCAAGTGGTTTGCAGCTCACTTGGGGTAACAGATGTATACAAGTGTGATTTAATTTTGGGTAATTGGTATTAACTGCCAGAGTACAGAAGTAGGGAGAGATTAAGCATCATCGGCATAGGAAGGAAAAGAAGGAAATCAGTCCAGTAGTGAGATGGCATTGCCCAAGACTCCATGTGTGGCAGAATCTGAAAGAGAGTGTGTCTTTCTTTACTGGAGGCCCAAAGACAAAGCCAAGTATGATCTTCATTTCCCGTGCTGTGGCTTCCCTTTATTAGAATGGATAATAAAGAGTTGACTGTATTTGTATGTAACACTTGAAAGCAGAAAACATGTTTTCTTGGTACTGCTTTTCTGACATGTTTGAAGAGTTTTGCTAAATCATAAACTGCTGCAGATATTCAATTCCATGTGTAATTTTTTTTCTTTTTTCTATTCATGTATTTGGTTTGTGACTTGTATAGACATAGCAGAAAATTGTGGGCCAAAAGTTTCTCTAAAAACGAGACAAAAACTTGACATTGTGTATATTGTTAACCAAAAATCTGTGTATATTTTACTCCCTGCTCTGCCTTTCTGATTCAGGTGAAGTGTTTGATTACTTAGTTGCCCACGGAAGGATGAAAGAGAAAGAGGCCCGTGCAAAATTTAGGCAGGTACGGAAAGTGGTTTTCAACTTTGTTCTGCCGCTGTGTTTAGTGATGCGCAATGGACAGGCTCACAAGCTCGGCTTCCACAGCATGCAACATTTTAGAAAGTTAAATTCCTGCTTGCGTATACTTTTTAAGATTGGAAAACTCCTGGAAACAGAGATCTATTTTCCTGAATTTAAATTTTAAATAGTTGCAGGTGGTTCTTGTTAGAAGGTGGAACCATGAATTTCTGTAAGTGAGACTCACCTTGTTAACTCTGGTCTTGGAAATACACACCAGACCAAGAGAGAAAAGAAATATTTAATCTTCGGACATCTGTGTCCAATAATTGTTATCCAGCATTGTTAGTGTTATGTGTAAAGCATACATGTGTACTGTTTAAAGAGGTTATTGTGCCACTTTTTTTTATAATTCAATATCTATTGGTATTAAAACTCATTTTATAGATTTGGAGAATATAGATAACTTTAGCCTCAGGCAAGGAATCTTGCAAATGTGACAGAAGACTGTGGTAAGCTACTGATATTTGCAATTAAACTTCAGTATGACAGTAGAAATGGTAAAATAAAAATAATTTAAATCATCCGGGGTTTTTAATTTTTAGGACTGAAGTAGTGAAAATAAGCCTACTTCAGATTACTATAGAAATGACTAATTAGTTCATTACAAATTTTTCATAAAATGTATTAATGTAAAGTGCAGCAAACAACTTTATAACATCCTAAACTATCCCTGCATGAATTTAAAATTCTCCCTTACAAATTGCTCCCCACCTCCATTCGGTGATTAGAGAGGCTCCAGAACCTTCCTCTAAGGGAATTGTCTAGGTGAACACATTAAGCAGAGAAGCCCTCAGGCTAGAGGAAAGGGAGGGAGCCATTCGTTTAGCTTCTTGAGAGTGCACTTTCCCAGTGGATTGTGGAGAGACTGTTTTGTAAGGTCTGTTATTGAGGTCTTACAGAATTTTTACTTTTTGACACAAAATTTGTGAAATGCTTTATAGCAAAGACATGCATAGCCCTTTTATTCGGGCTTGATTCCTAGAAGGTTCCTATTAAAATTGTGAACTCAGAAGCAATGGGTAATGCGAAAACCACACTCAGAAACTGAATTGTGTTCAGCCCCTTCGCTGGGAGATGCTTCCCTCTGCGGGCATAGAAGTCCACCCTTGCTCTTATGTGGGGAGCTACAGGCATCACTTTAAACGTCTTTTTTCAGTATTAGTCGCAGTGGTTTGAGTTTGTAGCACACCAGCAAGAAGATTCCAATTGGCATTAATTATTTCCATTGGAATTTTAATTAATGTATATTTTGGAGATTATTGCTACTTAACCTTTTTCTTTTTAGTCTGCTAGTTTTCCTTATTTACCAGAAACGTACTTAGTGTGGAGTACTGTACTTGGAGCTCTATGAACTTAGCCTGCTGTTGTAAAGAGCTTGCCACCTTTGCAGGTGGACAGGACAGGAGGCTGGAGCAAAGGTGTTTCCTCACCAGCATACATGGACCCTGGTGTGATCCCATCACCGATCGGAAAACAAATTTGTGTAGATCAAATAATTACTAACATGGACTTCTTTTTTTCTCAAATAACATATGAATTATTTTGAATTCACATTGACGTTCTTCATGTTGCAGTTCAGTGTCCACTTAAAGCTATTTAAAATGTAAAACTAGCCAAGCATGGTGGTGCGTGCCTGCGATCCCAGTGGTCAGGGAGGCTGCGGTGGAAGGGTCAGAAGGTGGAGTTTAGCAAAGGACTGGAAGTGTAGCTCAGTGCAGTGGCCCTGGGTTCAATCTGCAGCTCAAAATAACTCATTAACTTAATGTGAAACAATGGGAAATGTTTTCTGGATAATTACTCATGTATTGAAAACATTAAATACACCTAATATTTATATGTGTTCCCCCAAAACTAAAAAGAGTATTTTTGAGGAGCTTATTTTTCTTTATGGGTTTAAATTCTTAAAGAAGTAATACATGTACCTGAGTGTTCATCTTTGTTTTCGCTGTATTTTATGAATTTTTTTCTAACAGTGAGAGAATGTTCTGCATTAGCAAGGGCACACAAATGCATGTCCTTGACCCCCTGTTAGGGACAGCAGGCACCACAGCAGCTGGAGAAGGCCGAGCAGCCATCCCTGCATGGTGCCTCTGTGTTCTAGGGACCGAGGGCTGCATTGGCCCTCTTAGCATTGATCTCAGTCTCAACTAAAGCACGTAACTCCTGCCCCCTCAGGAGGAATTGCCAGGCAGCAGACAGCTTCCCTTTCCAGAAACAATAGGCAGGAGCAGCCCTCATGTCAGCGCAGGGCCACCCATAAATCCTGTGTCCCGGGTCTCTGGTGCGCAGGCCACAGAGCAGCCCCTATGTCCTTGCAAGAGCCTAGCTGCAGGCAGAGTGTCGCGGTGAGACGTGGCCATATAGGACTCCGGGGTTGCTTCAGGAGCCAAAACTTCTCACCTGTTTGGCGGCAGAAAGTGCACCCTGCTGACAGGTGTGGAAATACTGTGAGGTACCCCGTGTCGGTGCCAGCACGGAGCCCTTGCTCACTGTGTGGAGAGTCACACCTCACAGGGAGCGTTCTGCTTCGTTACCTTTCCATCCGTCCAGCTCTTGGCCGGGACGTAGGGAATAGAGCGCTGTCTGCTTTAAGCACGTGGCCTCCCGTTGCCTTGGTGACCACATTGTTCTCCAGCATGGCTCCCCTGTCTCATACACGTGTGTGACTTGTGAAAGGCCATCCCACCATCGTTGCATTCCCATGTCCATGTGCAGAGCAGCCTGGTAGTACGCACACACTATGAGCTGTATAGTATCTCCATTAAAACAGGCACATAAGTGTGCACGTCTTGTGACTAACAAACATTAAGTTAGTGAAAATTGAGTGTTAGAATTTCAAAACAGATTGCGTAAGAAAACTAACATCACAAATATTTGTTATTTTAGAGTCACGCACTTCAGCAGGTTCCTAAGCACTCATAGACACCCTCATACATGACTTCAGAGGCTCCACAGGATTTGCTTGTTTGGGACTCAGGGTCTTGTACCCGCCTGTCTAGCAAGGCTTCACTCCCACTGGGCCATGGTGTCCCATCGGCTTTCCAGAGACATTGTGCCCTCCTCATGAACGCATCCCACCCCCACTTCAAAATCTCAACATTTGAAGATATTCCCGTCCTTCAAGGACAGCTTAGATCAGCACCTGTTCCAGGAAGTGTTTCCTAGTGAAATCATAATTTTTTGTGATTCTCTCACTTCTTTGTACCTCTGCTTTTGTCATTCTGCCTTGAATTCTAATGACAGACGTGTTTCCCTTCTTAATCAGATTATAAACTCCCGAACGGCAGGGTCCATGAAGTGTCCATTTTTGTTCTCCCGTAGCACCAGCACATTTTCTTGCACATCGCAGGTACTCAATAAACTGAATCAATGAATCTGATTGAATTATACATTACTCATTATGTGTTGATTTTGTTTTCAGTTCATACCATCTGTCTCTGAACCATTGTAATATGCATTAGAATAATTTTTAGTGCTGAAACACCAGTTCTGCTTTGAAGTTTTCTTTCCACTCATATTCCTGTATTCCATGGTCATACTGTGCATCATCTTTAATCTTGTAAAAATCTTGCTTCTGTCTCCATCTGTAAATAACTAACCAGCCTTCAATATTCCACCTGTATTTACATTTAGCTGAGTCCACAGAACTGAATAGTGTGTATTAAAGTTGTCATGCTCCTATCCATCAGATCTAGTCATATAATGTACAAAGTAGCACTTTTATCTGTTGCTGTCAGATTCTTGTCATTTTTGTATCGAATAAAGAGCTCTTAGAGAGATTTTTAATAATCTATTTCCCATTTTTATCTTGGCCTTTAAACTGTTGAGTTCCTTGTGTTTAGTCCTTGTCCTCAAAAAGCACTACGCAGTGGTTAACAGTTATGGCTGCCTGCAAGACATGGTTACAGGTATAGAATTCTTTGCCCAGCTGCATTAGTGACAAAAATTAAATTTCATTTTTCCCTTTTTTCTTTGATGATTGAGTGTCTTTAAGATTAAAAATATTTCCTATTTCTCTGTATCTGGACAGATAATATAAGGTGTTGCTGTGTACCCCCTAAGAAATTGAGAAAGTATGCCTTGAGCACATCTGATGTAGTTCCTAGGGTACAGTTTTACTTTTTAAACTGTAGCCCTTATCCCAGAACGCTAACTCACCTGTGCCAAAGCAGCTGTTTCAGCATTGCAGTGCACCACTGGACCAAAACTACACCTGACACATTTTCAGTCCTGCAACAGGGAAACATAATGATCCACACAAATCTCCACAGACAAGGGGACATACTGGTGTGTTTTAGGGTCACTTTGCCACAGTTTCTATGTATAAGAGCAAAAGTTTCCTCCCGAATAGGTACAGTTTTCTGAACTAAAGAAATAAGGAAATTACTAAATGTTGCTTTGAAATCCAAATGAGTAATTTATTTAAATTGGAGTTGATGGTTGTGGGAAAATCAGTGTTTTTACTATGAAATAACTTTGATTCTTTTATCCAAATATTTATTCCAGATTGTATCTGCTGTGCAGTATTGCCATCAAAAATGCATTGTTCACCGTGATCTTAAGGTAAGTTGCTGACTTCGTAACAGACAAGCTCAATGATGTACATTTCACGATAAAGTCAGAGCTGTCTGTTTGGTCGCCTACCTGTTCGAGACAAGTAGTTTTTATGTGATTCTCACAGTAACTTTACAAAAGACCACGCCCACTGAGGAAATGAAGACAACATGGGGAGAAGTCAGTCTAGCAGCAAGCACTAGCAGGCTTGAGTCACCATTACTTAACTTGTTTCAAATAGAAAAAGGTGGAATTTTATCCCCAAATAAAAATGTGCAAGGTCCCATTCAGACAGAAGCAAGATAGAGGCACAAATCCACGTCAGCCAGGTGGAAGAGCCAGCATCCATTCTCCACCTTGGAGCTCACAGTAGCAAAAGATTTTCACTGTGCTTATGAACATTAAATGCATGAGACTGGTATAAACCAGCATGCTTCTGAATAAAAGATGTGATGGTTTTCATTTTGGTCAAGTTTTACTCCTTGTTGGAGCCTGCACCTCCACAAAGTAGCCCATGACTTTTTGGTCTGTTCATCAGTTGGAACAGAGTTAGAAACCAAATGCGCACAAGAGTGCACCCTCTTTGGAACTGCGCAAGATGTAAGCAATCTGTCTAAGATCTGGCCTTGAACGATTCTGTTTTAGGGTATTAGGAAATCAGCCTCTCCAGACACAGGGGCAACTCCCTGCTTTCTACATAACGCGTCTCCAGGAGAACACTAGGTTCAGAACATCGAAAGGAGCTGAAAAGAGACACGTCTAACTTCCACGTACACAGTCCTCTGTTGGGGAAGGAGGACGCGGGTGAGGAAGCCGGGTAGATGATGCGTCCCCTGAGGCTGCTGCGTCAGCTCCCTCTGGACAAGTGTGGCTCACATCGGAGGGAGAAGATGACTGTGCTGACTTCATTCTGTAGACTAGGCCCTGTTAGGAATAGTTCCAAGATGTGCCTTGCCATGAAGAGAGAAAGGAGGTTCAGATCAACTGCAGAAGAAAACAGGTTTTCAGTAACCTTTTGTGACAGCCGCGTACATGTATGAAATTCAGCCTCACACAGATGTCATGTTGAGCAGTTACACGCTGAAGTACCAGAGTGGACTTCTAAATTTGATATTCCTTTAAAAAAAGAGACAAAATATATGCTAGGGGTCTGAAGCAAGTGCAAACAAAGATTATTTTATGTATGCTTTTTACATTGTCCTTTTTATTATTTTCCTCTTAGGCTGAAAACCTTCTCCTTGATGCTGATATGAATATTAAAATTGCTGACTTTGGTTTTAGTAACGAGTTCACAGTGGGGAACAAATTGGACACATTTTGTGGAAGCCCTCCGTACGCCGCGCCCGAGCTCTTCCAAGGGAAGAAGTACGCGGGGCCCGAGGTGGACGTGTGGAGTCTCGGCGTCATTCTCTACACGCTGGTCAGCGGCTCCTTGCCCTTTGACGGCCAGAATCTGAAGGTACCGCTCAGTGGGACGCTCGCGTTGCCACCCCAGACGCGCTGGTCTCAGAAGCCAGTCGTAAGCGCTTTCGTCTGCTTTGTCAAGGAACTGCGGGAGCGAGTCTTGCGGGGGAAGTACCGCATCCCCTTCTACATGTCCACGGACTGCGAGAACTTGCTCAAGAAGCTGCTGGTGCTGAACCCGGTCAAGAGAGGCAGCCTGGAAGTGAGTGGTCATCTTTTGGTCTTCCAGATTTAAAGTTTAACGCTTAAGATATTCCAGGAACAGGGAGGAAGTTCGATAGCATATACAATGGTTTTCTTTTTATCTTTGAAAAAAAATAAACACAATGATTTCCTTTCTTACTGTATTCCTCTAACTTGTAAAAAGAGAAAATCAACTCAGGATGTTCTTGGCATAGAATAAGCACAATACTATCAGGATAATAGTAGGCAATCTGGAATGCTTGATGGTAGGATAAAAATACATGTTTGATGCTATAAGTAAAAATATACTTGGAAAATATACTTAGAGGTTTTGTTTTGTTTTGTTTTTCTTTTTTAAAACTATAGTGAAGATAAGCCGGGGATGTAGCTCAGTGCCACTGCGCCTGCCTGGCAAGTGCAAGGTCCCAAGTTCGATTCCTGGTACCAGCGGGAGGGGAGAAAAAAATACATTAAAGTTTCAACACATAATATATATAAAAGTATACTTCATGGCAGTGATTTAAGGACAAGTGTCGGAGTTCAGTTTGAGCTTTAATTCAGCCAAGATGTCCAGACAGCAGATACATGCGTATTATATTCAGCTTCCTTTCCTCCCCTAGTTAGACTAATGTTAGGAGGAGGTGGCGTGTTCCTAGGGCCGGTGCCCGAGTCACAGGTTCGAGCTCTACCCTTGCACTTCTGAGCTGGGCAAACTTGCTTGATCTTTTCAAGTTTATCTTCTATAAATGGTGTTTAAAAAGGATTGTTTTGTGAATTAAAGAATGTGAGTTACTAAGAAAAGAAAAGATACTCTAGGAACTGAAGTCCATTCATTCCCCTGTGTTTTCCAAGGAAAAATTGCCAGATCCCCTAATTTGCCTTTTACTTACGGAAAGAAAAGTGGCCTGATCTTTATTCAGAATCTGTCAAGAGAGGTTTCTGTCTAAACACAGTTACTTCTTAGCTCTTCAGTGAAGGATTAAATTAAAATGGAAGATAGAGGTAAAATTGACTTCTAGATGAAGAAAGAGGAAAACCAATTGGTCAGAACAAAAAATTTGCTTTTTAGTAAAGATTCAACCACTATTTCAGGCATAAAAAAAGATCTTGAAAATTCTAATCCAGGCTATATCTGGAATTAGAATCTGATATGAAAAAATTTAATGGAAGTCTCTCAACATCAGTACAAAAACTTTACAAATATGCAAACAGAACACACTGGAAATAAATGTTTTCATTTCTTAACACGCTGTCATGTTGCCTGCATACATTCCACACATACCAATGGGCATGGTTCACCTATGTTATGCTGGAGCTTCGCATAGTCAGATGCCTCAGATGCCTATTCTTTTTTCCTTCCGGCATGACAATAAGAATAACTTATTTCATAACAGTGTTGTCCACCTGTTTTTAAGAATGATATTTTGGCCTGAGGTGAGGTAATTTCAGAGGTTCAGCATGCTTATGCTTTTTTAAATATTTGCTTTTGCAAATACCGTGCTTTTTAAAATATTCCTTATTTGCCTTAGTTAGGAAGGTAGAAAATTGAGAGAATTAACCTCATTGAAACTGTACCTTTTTAGCAGGGCAGAGGGATTTTCAGGATTAGGAGGTGGCCTTACCTCGATCCTCCTTCTGTATGGAGCTCCCAGTTTAGTCAGCCTTTGGAATTCTACTCCCCCAAGAATTCATGAAAGATGCCACGTCTGGTGGAAGCTAAGGGATGTGATGTTCCCCTGGGAGATTACTTTAAATGCTTTCTACCAGTGAGTCAATTCGCAGGTATTTCTATTGAATCATTGTTTAAGTGTGATTATTTCTAAGCTTAAGATGTTAGTGCTTTTTCCTTTGGGAGTAAAAGATTGTTTTAATAATATTTTAGTAGAGAAGGTATAGTTAAGAGCCTGTTTATATATCATTGCCTTTCAAAACTTTCAACCATTATTCATGGAGAATTATGTGGAATAGAGTTGTTGACTCTCCTGTCAGTTCCAAAAGTCCAGAGCTGTAGAGGACAGATCTCTCGCATCCGGCTATGTGCCCCAGTTTTACCGTAGGAGCACTTTACCTGATGGTCAGGTGACAAATGCCTAGAGTAGAGGCAGCAGCTCCACTAACAAGCAGAGAACAAAGAACAAACGAAAGTTATTTTGGGAGAACATCTTACAAATGTCCGTGAGCAGGTAAGATGTGCTTTTGTCTTAAAGATGATTAATTTTCAGTAGCCAACTATTGCATCTTTCATCCTTAGCATTGAAGGGCTGAGTACAAAAGTGTTAGAGTTCTCTGAGTGGGAGTCAGAAGTCAGTCTTTACTGAGAAGACGCTTGATCTTCATGAGCTCAGGCTGACGTGAGTGAGTGTAGTCCGGAACCTTCGATTCCGACTTTCAAGATGAAGTTTTTCAACCCCAAACCATGAGTTCACATTGGAAACATTACCAGGCATCGCAGGTTCACAGTGCACAGGCTGACATGAGCGGGGCTCCTCCATCTTCCTGAATGCTTCAGGTTCCAGCGCGAATGCTGTCAGCTCCTAGTTGCTCTAATAGTGTCGGGGGCTGGTGGGTGACACAGGCTTTTGAGTGGATTCATGTTTTATGTGGTATATTGGGATTTTCCTCTCATTTATTAGCATGTCTAGATTTTTTTTATTGGAAAAAAATGAGAGGCTTTGCTACTTTTCCTCTTTGAGTATATATTCTTTCATTTTTCCAATTTGTTTGTTTTTCTTTACCAAGGCAGGGCCAGGGGTTGGACCAGGGCCTCAGGCCTGCAGGTCAGGCACACCAACTCTCACCTGCCTCCCTAGCCCCTTTTAGTTCAGTTCTTAGCAAAGAGGGGCTGTATTACTCCTCAGAATACCGCACAACTTGAGCCTGAAGTATAGCCCCTCCTTATCCTCTTGGTCACCTTGGCCCTCACCCCAAAAGTGTTTACTGAATTTTGACTTTTAACACCTAATTCCCTGAGCCCTCTGGGGCTCCTGAGTCTGTTCCTTCTTCCTGGAGAGTCTCTCCCACCCCATCCCCATCATCAGCCGGAAGCCAGTGCTTCATAAAGGCGGATCCCGGCCAGCCTGGTCGTGAGCTGCGCACCAGTGTGCAGAGCCATAACCCACAATGTCTCTGTCTCAGCTGTTTCTGGGAGCTCTGAGTCCTGCACAGCGTATTCTCTCCCCAGGAATGGTAGGCACCAAGCCCATTGGTTGGTCTGACCCAGAAACCTGGGTGTCATCTTCCATTTCTCCTTTCCACCTCTCTGCCTGTACCCAATCATGACGTTTTGTTAATTTTTACTGGCCAGATCATTAAAGCATCTTTCTTTAAATGTTTCTGCTGCCTGCCTTTAACTCAAAGTGTCATTAGATTACAGCTAAAAGGCCCTTCAGTTGACTTCTGATCCTTTCATCTTCAGCCCTCCGATATGCTGTCCACACACTGGGAGGAGAGACTTTTCAAAATCACACCTTTAAGATGGCCCCTCTTGTGGAAGAAACCGTGGCCTCCCCTGCCCACTTCCTGTCTCAGGTGCTACTTGCAGGCCGAATGTGCTGGCCCAGGCTGTCTTTCCAGTTAGGCCCTTGGGCCTCTTCATACCTGGGATCTCCTCTTCCTGGAGTGCAGTTTCTTTTGCCTCCTTTCCAGTCTTTCTTTTGTTGCTAACCTTTCCTTTTTCCTTCTAACTCTAGTTGTCACATAGGATCCACTGTTTACAAGTCTCCTTCCATAGTTATTATTTTCATACTCTTAACATTATAATCTTAAATTCACCAAAATGTCCAAGGACTAATTTGAGTGGGTTTGAACAACTTGGAAAATTTCTGTCCAACTCTTGTTTGTCATTTTGCCTCCTTGCCTTCTCTTTTGTTACGGTGGTAATGACACACACGAGCAGCTAGTGTGTTGGTGAAGGAGCAGCCGTACTTGTCGGGGGTGACGTGTGTGGGACGGTGGCCCTGGGAAGGACTGTTTTAACTGTACATTTCGTATCGTGTGTGGGGCCAGGGCCACGTGATGCAGGAGGGCTGGAGTGTCCTCAGCATTGGCCCTTACTCTGGTAACTGTTCTCTTAGGCACAGTCACCACCCCTAATCCTCAGGGGAAACATCCCAAGGCCCCCAGGGGGCACCTGGAACCCCCAGGGGTACCAAGCCCTGTGTGCCATGATTTTCCTGTGCATACACACCCACGATAAAGTTTAATCTGTAAACCAGGTCCTGTAAGAGGTTAACAATGATAACCAACAATAAAATACAACATTGGTAGCATACCGAAATAAATGTTACGTGAACGGGCTCTGTCTTTCTGTCTGGCAGAATATCTTCCTGCACTCTGCTTACACATCTTACGGTGGTGCCAGAAGATGCAGCACCTTCATGCTGACAGGGGAAAAGGGGTGGCAGGGGTGTTGGAGGCAGCACTGAGGGACTTTCACCCTCACCACCGAGCCCCCAGAGATCTGTGGAGTGAATCCCATTGAGCTCTCCCACAGTCTTTTCTGTCCTGGTGGGATGTCTGTGTGCCCACCTTGCACACACTGCCCATCCCCGAGCACTTAGCAGCTGCCTGGGTTATAGGGCTGATGGTGATAGTGTGGCAGTGCTGGACCATGTGAGAGAGGAAACCACCCTCTGTACGGAATTGGGCAACTATGGATTAATTAGGTAACTATGCTCTTTGTATAATGATGCACCTGAGTAGCCATGACAGCTTCTGTAATCTGTCACCAAAGGAGCATAATGGACTAAGTTCTTGCCCGAACTCAACTCACCCTCCACCCACCCCCGCTCTGCTTTGTGTAAATCCTGCTTGCTATATTCCCAGGAAAATGCCAATGAAAGTAAGCCTCATAGATGTAAAAAGAGGTATATAAAGAAGAACAAACTTCTATTCAGAGCTCTTGAGATTGTCAGGAGTCACATGCTGAGCCACCGGCATTTAAAGCCGATTTGCTCCTAACTCCGTGTTCGAGTGCTGTCTGGGGATCCCCCACAGTTTCCTGCTTCACATGTTTGACCACATTTGAAAGCAAAACTACAGGTAAAGGAGAAAGATTGTATTCATCTTCCAACCTATGAAATTCTACCAACAAAAAAAATTCACTTCTACAGAGCTAGTTCCTGATTCTTCATAGGCTGTCATCAGATGGACTGTTTGAGAGGGGACAGAGGAGAACAGAAGTGTCTTAATTTGAGGAAAACTGTGTGATGGGAATTGGCAGCTCTGCTCTGCCCTTATTTTTCCTCTGCATGTTCAGCCTGTCATTTCTTTATCTTTATTGACAAATAATCACTAAAGTCTTACTGCACAGTAGCATTATTACTTTACAATTTGTAGTTGGTCTTCTTTCATTTAAATTAGTTGGGTAATGTACTAAATTGCCATTGCTCAGAGTGGTTATAAGAAATGAACTTGGTGATCTTTTTGAGAGGCCCATGTCTGCATGGTTGTATTTTTCAACACATGAATTATCTACAAACTTTAAGTGAAACTTTTATCACAGGTCTGAGAGCTTTGGGAACATCCACCCAATGCTATAGCATTCTCACAGATCTAGTTGTTCAAGATCAGCTTAGAGTTTTGTCTTCTAGTGATTAACTTTGGGTTAATAAATGAAGGAAATGTACTCAGGCAGTCACAGGTCAGCCTTCCAAAGACCTGTGTATGGAAAGTTATTTTTCTTATTAGTTGACTCTTGGCAGATAAGGTGTAGATCTGGAGGATGTACTTTAGAGTACAAAGAAAACAATTGCACAACATGTATAATTCTGTAGTAATAAAGTTGAAAATTTGTAATTAATGCAGAATTATTCAAATTCCAGTATGTTTCTCTTTCAACGTGAAAGTTCAGGACTTCCATCATGCATGCTAGCTTTATCCATGGGTGCCAGTCCTCCATTGTCTATGACTATACTGATGTCCTGACCAGGTTGTCCCTTTTGAGGGAAGTAAAGACACAAACATAAATTTACCCGCTTCACGGTTTTTAAGTGTGTGTTGTGGTGTGGCTAACTGTATGCACATTGTTATACACTAGCTCTCCAGAGCTGCTGCATCTTGTGATGAAACACTAGACCCATTAAACAACTCCCCATCCTCCTGCCCTCTGCCTCCCTCAACCACCCTTCTGCTTTATGTTTCTGTGGCAACTTGAGAGCCCTTATAGAATTGGAATCACACACGATTTGCCTTTCTGAGGTTGGCTCATTTCACTCAGCATAGTCCTCAGGGTTCCTCCGGGTTGGAGTGGAATTTCCTGCACAAGGGTGGATGCATTCTGTTACATACATGCAACACGTTTTCTTTATCCATTTATTTCTTATGCTGGGTATTCATGGCTTCCAGCATGTTTCTGAGCTCATCTATTTTTTTATCTGTTTCTGTTCTAGATCCTCTAATCATGTCTTTCACTCTGCTCACCATCTCTGTAGATATCTGGGAGATTATTTCTGCTTTGAATTTTTCTACAGCCTCATTCATCTGTTTTGTTACTTCCTGTGCTATCAGTTCAGGGTATCCAGGTGGTTGGTTATGGGACTTTTACATCTCATTTCCCCCAGGATTTACCCTTGGTGGGGTGGAAGTCTGAGTTTGTGCCTTGCTTAAATGTCTTCTCAGTTTTGTTTTTGGTACTGTCCTTGGTTTAACTCCTGGGTTGATAGTTTGAAATTGCTTATTGTAGGTATCTTTGTTGCTTGTAATTAGAACCCTTATGGAATGACTGCTTCTCAGAGGTGTCTTCCCGATATAGTGGTCTTTAAGTTTTGAGTCTCTAATGACTCTAAGGCTATCTCATTTTCCTTATACTAGGAAGGTTCATTGACTAGATCAATACCCACACCTTAGCCCAGGTGATACAATCAGCAACACCATTGCATCAAGTACATCTTCGAAAATGACATTTTGTGGTAGTTATTAATCTATCACCTTTATCTGTGTGAATTAAATCAAGATTGAGGACCAACCCAACATATAGTGAATAAACTCTTCAATATAACAACTTTACCCTTTGGGATGGGGAGTTAGAAGGGGTTGGGGAGGGAGGGACAGATGGGAAGAAGGATAGGGGAAGGGTAGCAGTGTGGCCAGAGGACACAGGTGAGAAGGAAAAAGAGAATACTAGGAAAATAAAGAAGAACTCCGAATGAGGACCAAGACAGGGACAAAAAGGGAAGATGAACAATGTGGGAGAGCAAGAAAGTGAGTGTAAGAGAGAGAGAGAAAGGAAAGAGAAAAGAAAAAAGAAAAGAAAAGAAAAAAAGGAGAGAAAAACATATTTGCAAAGAGTAGGAAAAAAATAAAGATAAGAGGAGCAAAAGAAAGGAAAAGAGAAAAAGAACAAACTAATAATACTAATTTTGGGAATAAAAAATAACCATGAAGATGAAGGGCCTCTTTCAGGGTATGTCTCTGCTGTCACAATAGACAACATGTAGCAGTGTGCAGAAATAAGTCAATGAGTCTCAGCAAGCTAGTCGCAGACCCATGAGATTCAGGCAGATTTCGGGCTGCAAGTCCCAAGTTGAGCTCCCTGTCCTCCTGCAGGGTTGAACTCTGCAAAGTTCTACTGCAGGTTCCAGCTGCCCTTCCCCTGAAGATAGTCCTGGTCCTGATGAGAGGTGAAGATGACTCCAACTTACCCAGTACAGTGGTCTGGTGGTCCGGTGTCCTCTGCGTCTTTGTAGTGTGGAACCAGGTGGCTGTACAGAGACGAGGCCAGAGGAGTGTGGGGGGGGTGTCCAGTGGATTGCTGCTGGGGCAGGGGCTGATTCGGCGTGACCTGGTACAGCGTCTGCACACCTGCCTGTCTGCAGCAGGGTGATGCGGTGCGTTCCACGTGACTCACGACCTTGACATTTTCTTTATCCAGTCATCTACCAGTGGGCATTTAGGCTGCTTCTACCTCTTGGCTATTGTGAAGAACGCTGCAGTGAGCACTGGTATGCAGCTCTCTCTTGGATCTCCTGTTTCCCGTTCTTTTGAATAAATACCCAGGAGCAGGATTACTGGGTGATGCGGTTGTTCTGTTAATTTTTTGAGGAAACTTTGTACTATTTTCCATGAAAGCCGCACTGTTTCACATTGCACAAGGGCTCTGATCTGTCCTCATCCTTGTGGTCCCTTATTATTTTGAGTGGTTTTTGTAGCAGCCACCCTAATGGGTAAGAGGTGGTATCTCTGTGCAGTCGTGGTTTTCTCTGATGATTAGGGTTTCGTGTAAGCATCTTTTCATGTACCTGTTGGTCCTTGTTGTGTCTTTTGTGGAGAAATGTCTGTTTACTTTCTTTGCTCATTTTAAAATCAGGCTGTTAATCTTTATGTTACTGAGATGTAGGTGTTCTTTGCATATTCTAGAGATTGACCCTTAAACAGTGTATGGTTTGCAAGTATATTTTCCTATCTCCTAGCTTACCCCACTGGGTGGTCTTAGGGTATCGGCCCAGCCCTCCCTGTTCCACAGCCTCGGCCTAACTCTGGCTCTGGTAATTCAGGTCAATGCTGTTCCCACCCTGGCTTTTACCTTATTTCTTACTCTAGTCTTAATTTTTAAACTATCTTCCCTTCCCATATGCTCCCAGTTGTGTTTACTGCTTTCCATTCCTCATAATCTCTTCTTTCCTAATATTTTAATAAGTGGTGATTTTTGAATGCATGCATGTATTTGGTTGAACAACAGGAAAAAATAGAATCTTTTAATTAATCTTAAATGTAAAAATATGCAACTAAGGTTAAAATCAGTAGGTTCTTATGTTAAATCTTTCACCTTTGAAAATACTCCTTTTAAACGGAGATAGGAGGACCGTGCTTTGAGTCGGTACATTTGGTGAGGGCGTGGGTTGGGGGCACAGAGGTCACAGGATGCTGTGTCCCCAAGTCCTACTCCTCTGGCTGTGCTGCTGACCACAGTCCCTTCATCTGAAAATGCCACATGGCTCTCACTGAGGGAGCCAGTGCATTCACAGGTGCTTGCAGAGCAGTGGAGTGAACCTCCAGCATACATGCCACAGTGGGCTGTTTGTGTGGTTGAAAGCTCTAAAAGGTTCACCATCACTAGTCTACAGCTAAGTGGTTGAATGTTGTGATTGACCAAACATAATATAGATTTTATTTCCTAGCAAATAATGAAAGACCGATGGATGAATGTAGGTCACGAAGAAGAAGAACTAAAGCCATATACTGAGCCTGAACCGGACTTCAATGATACAAAAAGAATAGGTGAGCATTCGAACGTCAGCAGAGGTGCTGCCACAGGCTACAAGAATGAGCTCTTTAGGCTTCCAAAACAGTGTTTAAAAGTAGAACAGGACCCAGGGAGTTACCTCAGTGGTTCTGCCACCTGCCTCGCAAGCGCAAGGTCCTGAGTTCGATCCCCGGTACCCTAAAAATAAATAAATAAATAAATAAATAAAATTAAAAATAGAACAGGAAGCAGCTTTTATTTGATAAAGCTTTGCATTATCATCTTAATGATAAGTATTAAACATTGAAATTTTCTTACTCTTTCCTTTCCATGTCTCTCTTTAATGTACATCACTTGTCTCTTGCACGGCTCTATCCCTGTTGTAGCGCATTCTCTCCTGTCCACAACCGGTCCCCAGAGTAGGACTCCTGTGACTCTCAGCATTGGTCAGACTGAGGAGTATCAGCAAACTCTCGATGCATTTTTACCAAGAACTCAGGATCACTGAGTTACAGGGGTCTAGCGCTTGCAGTGTTCCTCCCGTTCCTATGTTCTAGCACTGTGCATCTCCCTGGCTCACACTGCCGCCCTCAGCCAGGCCTCTGTTCCCGTCGCCGTCTCTGGCCCTCTGCCTGATCCACACCCGCATCTCACTGGGCTCCTCCCACCCAACTGGAAGGGAAGGAGAGCACGAGGGACAGGTGGAGCTGAGGTCTTCCAGAGGAGCTCAGTCTGCTGGAGACCAGAGGGGGAGCAGGCGTGGGGAAGCGGGGAGAGAGGACAGCCTGTCTGATGGCCCAGGGTGCGTGGGGAGGAGAGAGGGGACACGGAAGAGGGCAGTGAGCCCCAGACAGACGCGGCCTCGGGGACAAGGAAGGCAGCCTGGCAGTGTGTAAGGCAAGAGCAACCAAGAAGCTGAGTGCGCCTGATGTAGGTGACGCTGCAGTTATCTATGACATTCAGCATGTACAGGTTCATCCGGGACATGTACCATATGGGTTTAACTATGAGGACTAGACTTTAAAGCTTTAGGACTTAAGTTTTACATCCAGTACTGGGAAATGTGCCCACTTTTGCTGATGTGTTCACTAAAATAAACCCACTTTGAGAAAATTTGCATTTTTTTTCAGATGTTATGGTCACCATGGGCTTTGCCCGAGATGAAATAAATGATGCCTTAATAAATCAGAAGTATGATGAAGTTATGGCTACTTACATCCTTCTGGGTAGAAAGCCTCCTGAAGTAAGTTGTTCATCTTTTTAAGTGAATGTGAAGTATTCCTTGAGTGTGGTGACAGCTAAGTAAACACATTCTGTCTACATGTGTTCTGTCCTTTGCCAACAGTAATGCAAGGATCCAAATATTCTTATCTATCAGAATTCAGAACTCGAGGTGCTACGTTATAAACGAATGTGATCTCAGGTACCAAGAGAGATGTGTGACAGGGCAGAGGTCACTGTCCTGCCCGGCCCCAAGAGGCAGCTTTCCCAGCCTCGTCTTCAGATGGTGGTCCGGAGTTGTTCAGTGCACGGCATGTGCATCTGAGTGTGGCAGCCCCACCTACGCCAGTAGCAGCGTTCCGGGTGGGCAGGAAGGACAGCGACTGAAGCCCAGGGAAGGGCAGCATCTAAGACAATGAGGGGCGTGATCTCCACAGGGGGAACCCAGGGAGGGTGGCTTGGGTGTGCTTTGCCTTGTAGGGAGCTGGATGGCTTTGTGAGCTCAGGGCCGGTGGAGCCACCACAGGGAGAGGCCCGGGGACCACTGGGTACAAGTGGTGATCCTGGGTGTAAAGGGGACTTTGGGAAAGCAAAGGTATAAATGGAGAGTAGGAACGGAGGCTGGGCACTGACTGTTGAGAATTACACATCAGTGGGAAGCGCTTTATGGAAAAGCCCAAGTATAACTAGCGGCTTGCGAGAAGCAGCTCGTCCCAGCTGGTGTTATGGGAAATCAGGCCGAGTGAATCTGGGAACGGAGAACCTGGAAGGCGAGTCCCTCCAGATGCCTCAGTTGGAGATGAGCCACCCCCAGCGAGGTGCAGGGGTCCTGAGGACGCCTTGGGAGCTGAGGGACAAGCCCTGCCGCAGGCCAGGGGGCTCCAGATTGGCCCGTGTGACCCCCAAGACGTGAGGTCGTGTTCCTTGGGGACCTCTGGGGTGAGGCCCCGAGCCCCTCCGATTCCTGTGGACCCCGATGTGTAAGTGTGACGGAGGTCAGCCTGGGTGGGTGGGCTGGAAGCTGACCAGTGGGTGTGTGGGTGTCGAGATCAGGACTCTCGGGAGAGACGGGAAGAGAACTAACAGATGCCGAGTCCTCCCCGAAGCAGTCGTGTCTGGGAGCCCTTCCGAGGACTGCACTAAGGCCTCACTGACCCACGGTCCTCCGAGAGACCCCCGAAGCACCGCCAGAGGCGAGGAAGGGACCTGGGTGGGTACCGAAGAAGACAAGAGTGCAGCTGGTTATTTCTAACCTTTAACTGTTTCCGCTCACATTTACTAAGTTTCACTCCTGAGATCTTTAACTTTCTATTAAAGACAAAAGAAGTTCTGATTTTGTAAGAAAGCCCAGCACGGACCTGGTTGTACTGGGTATACATGAATGAAGCCACCATCGTCAGTCAGAGCCTGCCCTTTGTGCCTGGGTTCCCTGCCCCACTTGTCCTGGCACAGCCTCTAACCAGGTGACCTGGGCAACCTACTTAATTTTTTGTGCCTCAGTTTGCTTGTCTGCAAAATGAGGACATGGTCGTGCTTATCTCCTAGGGTCGCTGAGGGGTTGTATTGCTGACGCTCGTAAGGTCCTAGGGCAGTTGCTGGCAGGCAGCTGTTTCTGTGCTGGGCTCTCGCTGCTTCCTGATGCCAGCAGTGCTGCCCCCTCCTGGCCCTTGGCAACTTCGTCTTGCAAAGAGAGGTGGTCTATGGACCTCTGCTTCCCATACTTAGTTTCAAAGAGATGTCATTTCCTGATCAGAGCCAGTAAGCCTCATTTTGTTTTGTAAATGTGGAGAAAACCAAATAAAGTAGTTTAATCCAGGCCAAAGGTAAAGCGTGGAAATACAGATATTTTAGTAGTGTTTTCATGTGCATGTGCACACACACACACTGTACACATAAATATGTGTTTAAAGTGTTAGATTTTTGTCCTAAATTTGAATCCCAGCAGTGCCCCTTGATTCTTGACCTCAGTTTTCCCATCTGTGAGGTGCAGGTGACTACATTGCAGCTTTGTTGTAAAGATTAAGCAAAGTAACAGACAGGAAGAGCGTGGGCCAGCCCTGCCCTATTAACTGGTGCAGGGTTTGTACAGAGTAGCAGATGGTGACAAGCTCTCTCGCTCCTTCGCCCAGGCCCCTCTTCCTTCGTGCCATCTTGAAGTTGTCCACCTAAAGCCACCTGGCCTTTGGAGCTGGTTATCCCTCGCATAGTTTTGAGTCGTGTAGAAGTCAAGAGTGCATTTTGTTGGTGTATGGGTTTTTCTGCTTTAAAACTGGTCTCCTTCTCACGCAGTTTGAAGGCGGTGAGGTGCTGTCCAGTGGGAACCTGAGTCAGAGGTCCCGGCCCAGCAGTGACCTGAACAACAGCACCCTGCAGTCCCCCGCGCACCTGAAGGTCCAGCGGAGCATCTCCGCCAATCAGAAGCAGCGGCGCTTCAGTGATCATGGTGAGGGCCAGGCTGGTCTGTCCACACCAGCTCCCCAGAGCCGCAGGCTGCGGGGCAGAGCCGGCCGCATTGGCAGGGCTGACCTGACTTGTACCAGACCATGGGATCTTAGTGCAAAGCATGAAGCGGGCAAACAGCTCTCTCTAGCAGGGTTTTCGTTGTAGAAGAGAGCATATCCATGATTGTTCAGCTCACTGTGCTGTTATGTAATTCCAGCCGGCCCATCCATCCCCCCCGCCGTGTCCTACACCAAGAGGCCCCAGGCCAACAGCGTGGAAAGCGAGCAGAAGGAAGAGTGGGACAGAGACATGGCCCGGAAGCTGGGCAGCGTCACGGTTGGCTCAAAGGGCGAGGAGACGGCCAGCCCCGTCGCGGGCCCCGAGAGGAGGAAGTCCTCCACCATCGCCGGCGTGAGTGCACCCTGGCCTGCTGCAGGCTGTGCCCGCCCTGTGGCCGGAGCGTTTCTTGAGATCTTTGTCTTTTGTCTCTTTAAATGTGGCCAAGTGAATCGCAACGGGAAGGACATGAAAAAAGGGTGAAGCTTCTCTTAAAGACTATTTCAACAGAAAGGACTCTCAGAGTCACAGCCTCATCACAAAAGGAAAGCTCTCCTGCTTCATTTTCCCGTTTGCAGCAGTGACTTCCTGCGATGCTGGTGCATTTGCAGAGCACTGACCCGAGCCGAGGTGCAGCCCAGTGGCAGAGTGCTTGCTGCACCTGCAGCCCCAGCGCTGCAAAAATAAAATCCCCCATGGGCTTGGTGTGGGGGGGCTCAGTTAGCAGCCAGCGTGTGAGGTGGCCTCAAATCCCGCACTGGAAACGCACACTGTAGAAGTTGTGCATGGGTGCTAGAGGAGAGGCTGAGGCCACAGGAGAGGATAAAGAGGATCTAGGAAGCAGACTGGGGTGAGGGTCTGTGTGGCAACAGTTAACACATACAGAGTAGATGTTAGAGCCAAAATTCGGAAGCCTGAGGCTGGGTAGAAAGTCGGGGAAGAGCGGTGTGTGCCTTGTGTGGCAGCTGAGAGGAGTAAGCGTGGAAATCAGTGATGAGCTAACCAGAGCTCAGGAGCTTACGGTGAACAACCGAAGAACAAAAATACAGTGACAGCTTTTAGACCAAGAGAAGGAAAGGGGAAAGCTTGATCACGCCCGTGGGAAGGAAGGGGGACTGCTTTAAATGGCAGACCCAGAACAACACACGAAAAAGCCTCGCAAATCTGCATCTCGGTGGGTGGGTTAGACTCCCCGGGTCCACTGCTTCCGTTAGTGAGGGGAAACCAGCCTTCTTTCAGTAGCGATTAGATTATCACCTCCTAGCCTTTGAAATAGACACACAACAACTTTAAAAGTTGCTCGATATAACTGCTTCCCTTCCGACTTATCTGCTTGGAAATGCAAAGGTTTAACTTTTTACAAATAGATTTCCTAAGCAAGCTGTGACTTTCCCGCCAGGCAAAGAACAGTGTCCAGTGCTGTCACCCCACATAACAGAAAGAATGGGCTTAGCTGCTGTGTTCCCCTCTCCCCGTGTTGCCTGTCTTTCCACTCAGCCAGGTCTCACCCTGCCCTGCACATGCGCGGCCCTGTCTGCATTTGGTGCCCTTGCACCTGCCTTCCCCCAGCTGCTTCTGCTGTGCAGCTCGGGGTGCTCAGTGCTGCCGGGCTCTGACCCTGTGGTCCCCATGAAAACTGTAGCTCTGTCCACTCAGAAGCACTGGTGCCAAAGTGCACGAGTTTGCTGACTAACAAGCAGGTGTGCTTGAGCATTAGATAAATCCAGTTAACACTGCCACAGTTATGCACAGTTATGTCTTTAAAAACATAAAAGGGTTCTGATAGAGAAATTCTTTTTTTTTTTTGGTACCGGGGATCGAACTCAGATCCTTGCACTTGCGCAGCAGGTGGCAAAACCACTGAGCTAAATCCCCGGGTCCAGAGAAATTCTATTCTTAACCACTAGATTTTTTAATTTAACTGTTAATTTTGGTAATTTGAGAAAACAAAATACTAATTTTGTTCAGCAGTTCAGAACTTTCTAAAGTAAAATTAGTAGTGTCCTCTTTCCTATCTGCTACCTAACATTCTCAGCTCTTAACATGACTCGTGCCAGCGATTTGGGTTGAGTTCTTAGGTTTCCTTTATGAAAGAAAACGTAAGTGAGCCTACGGGATTATTTCATTGTGCTTTTTTTTTTGGTACTGGGGATCAAACTCGGGTCCTTGCGCTTACGAGGCAGGTGACGGAACCACTGGGCTAAATCCCCAGCCCTTCATTGTGCTTTTGATTTAAAAAAAAAATAGGTCATATTTTGTCTATTGCATTTTTGTTTTTCTTGCTTGTGGTACCGCGGGGTCCTGCGAGGTCATAACAGGAGGCCTTTGTAACTGCACATTATTAGTAGGCACAGGCAGCCATCGCATGATCCATTCAGCCTTCCTTCACGGGGCACTCAGAATTTTCCACTTCCCAGCATACACAGCCCCATGCACTTCCGGTGCAAGTGTGTTTCTCTTCAGTGCATCCTCAGAGGCCCATGTGCTGTGCTCTGTGCTGACTTCACCCCCGTTGCAGAGTTGGGGACCGACCCAGGTGGCACCATTGCCCTGGGAGCTGTCCCCCACCCCCTGTGCCACTCGGTCACCACCCCACTGCACTCTTGGGGGTGGCCCTGGCCGGCTGGCTGTGGGTCCCTGCAGTGTACACATGTACAAAGCAAGACCCTGTCACACACAAAAAAAGAAGAGTAATACCCATAGCACGTGTAGATAGCTTAGTAAGTGATAGTTTAATAGCACTTTTTCCCCCAGTACTGAGCATTGAACCCAGGGCCCTCACACTGGGCTGCATCCCCAGCCCTTTCTTATTTTTTATTTTGGGACAGGGTCTCACTAAGTCACTAAGTTGCTCAGGCTGGGCTCAAACTTGTGACCCTCCTACCTCAGGAGTGCTGGAATTACAGGTGCGCCTACCAAGCCTGTTAGTTTAGTAATACTTTTAATCTTTATAAAATAACAGGACTGTTTTTCAGTCGATAGTAAAAGATTCCATTGCCACTAGTATTTAACATCAGTCCAACCGACCTATGCGTGATACTGACAGATGATACTTAGCTGACAGTTGGTAGACAGCGTGGGGAGAGTCTCAATACCACCAAAAAAAAACTTTCTGAAAAATGAGAGGACAGATTACTTCTTTCTGAGAGACTGAAACAGATTTAAAATGTTACAGAGATTGCAAGGTACTGTATCTCAGTATCATGGTATGAATCTAAGTAGACTTCAGGAGGCTGGCGAGTATTATTTCTACTGTTCCCAAGCCCTCCGCAGGAAGAGCCCCTCTCTCTGCTTAGGAAGCACCAGAGCCTGGTTTTGTGACCGAGGCACGGCCTCCGTGACAGCTGGTTTGTGTGTGTACCTTCGATGAGTCGGGCCTCGCCTGTTCCTGCCACTTCCTTCTGAATAACTACACACTCAGCTCCCTGCACCATGCACCTCAGTGAGGTAGGCTGGCCACCCACCCTGGGTGACCCTGGCATCTGAGGGTCCAGGCAGGAGAGCAGCACATGGGGAGGAGGAGACACCTGTCCTGGGAAACCACACAGGTGCACAGCAGCATGGCAGATGGGCGGCTTGTTCAATTCATATGACTCGCAGAATGATGTTGTCAGTTACAAAGATTTCCCCTGTTTTCTATTATTTCTAGAATTTTTCTTCTAGATTTTAATTTTCCAGTAAGCTTCTAGACGATTTAACCTCCTTCATACCTTATAAGGCAAAGTAGAAATAACTTAAATGTTCAGAAATTAGGATTCTACTGGTCCCAACAAAATGTGGCTCATTTGCACAGCCCTATCTTCTGGGCTATAAGCTTGTTCTGTCGCTTCACGGGGACATATGTTGATGACAGGTTAAATGAAAGCAGGTCGTGAGACAACATGCTTCAAACCATGAAATGCAGATGGCGCTTCTAATTTGGAGAGAATTATGGGTGCAAGTCGGCATCATAACGAGTCACAGTCATTCTTTTTGCCTTCAGGGGACAGAACAAGTCTTACCTAAAATCTCCTTAATAATCTTGGCCTCTTTCCTACCATACTTTTACAGTTTTTAATTTATGCTTTTCCTACAACTGGTGACAAAACTCCTTCCACCGAGGAAGCTGCACTATTGAAACATTTTAAATTTTCACTCACACAATTTTGTTAATATTTTTTTCCTTCTCCAAGTGATTTCAAGTAAATATCGATTAACTTTCTAGCCCTCTTTCTTAAACAAATTTTAGGATAATTATTTATTTTAAAGAATAGTGAAAGCTAGATCAGCCAAAAGTAGGGACTTTTTCTGCTGGATCAGGGGGAGACAGAAGAATATTTCAGGGCTTTTGAAAATCCTTCCTGTGTGGTGTTAGCTGTAAGTGGCAGGCAGTCTTGGCGGGCAGGGTCAGAGGGCAAGGGCTGTGTAGGGGAGGCCCAGCGCCTCTCTGCTGCTGTCCTTGTCCCTCCCCTCCCCGGGCCTGGCCTGCCTCCTGGCTCGCCCCGGGACCAGCGGGACCCCTCAGCCTGGCTCTCTCAGGCACAACTTCGGTCCGGAGCTTTGGTGTCCTGATTGCCCCAAGCAGGTGCAGCGGCAGGCCAGGAAGGTGGGCCGTCTTCGCTGCCCTAGGCCCCTGTCAGTGCCAGGGCTGGACAGGAGCAGAGTCTCCCCTAGTTCCCCATCTTCACCCACGAGGAGGGAGAGGGGAGACCCTGCTTCCTCGTTGCTTCCAGACGAGCGCTGGCGACTGCTGCAGGGTTGTGAACTAAGACTGACGAGTCTGTTTTCTGTCCCGTGGTTTTCAGTCCTCAAATCTAAATGGTAGAAGAAAAGAGGGGAGGAAGGAGGAGACCGAGGGAGAAGGGTGAGGATCCGCCGCGTTTATGCAAGATTCTAACCAGTTACACGAGCAGAACAGCTCTAACACGTGTCGGCTTTCCACGCATGTAGTTAGAATTTTAAAATTGCTCTTTTTCTTAAAGAACAATGTGTATCCTGGAGGCAGCATGGCAAGGAGGAACACGTACGTCTGCGAGAGAACAACAGACCGCTACGCGGCGCTGCAGAACGGAAAAGACAGCAGGTGGGTGTTGCATGCCAGCGGCAGAGCGGGATGCGCTCCGTGCCCTGCTGAGCGGCCTGTAGATAGGTAGGGCACTGCACCCAGTACTGAGACCGTAGCGGGATGGAGGGTGGGAGGACACGGGGAAGCAGGAGGTGAATCTCCTAACCGGGTGCATTTCTGATAGGATGTGGGAGGAGAGCCTTCCTGTAACTCAGCCGGTCTGCGACCCGCCCTGCTCCTCCTGACTTGCGTCACGTGCTTCTCAGTGGCTTCTTTTCATTGGCCATCCTTTCTGGTCCGTCAGAACCATGAAATCTTCAAGTGTTTTATTTTAAATAATGATAAATCATATTATTTTTATTATTTCAAGAAATGTAACTTCACATCCGGGTTGGACTCTATCCTGATAAACTTCTTAGACTATCTCACCTGTCTTCCTTCTCAGCTGGAGTTGCTGAGAGGAAGCAGTGCGGTGAGGCGCCCAAGATCAGAGTGTCTTCTTTGGCCAGGAAATCCCTCAGGCCAGAAGCCAGACACTGACTCCGGGCAGACTCAGCAGTTCTGCCTGTACTGAGTGCCTGAGCAGTCAAGCTAGGGCTCCGTGTTTCCAGGTTCCCAGAGATGGTGATGGATTCGGATGAATAATCTAGGACATGCAGCACAGAAACACATCACACATGCACAGAAGCGATTTCTGCTTTTCTAGACTCACGGAAATACCAAGCAAGTGTGTGTAAGATCTTCTGAGTGGAAGATAGGGATAAATCTTCCCTGTACACTTTTTCTTTTTGTACTACAGATTGGATCCAAGGCCTTGGACATGCTAGGCAAGTGCTCTACCACTGAGCTCCACCCCCAGCTTTGTACAATTTAAAGACAAAGTCTCACTAAATTGCCCAAGCTTGGGCTCCCCCTGCCTGAGCCTCCAAGGAGCTGGGATTACAGGCATGTGCTGCTGCACCTGGCTCCCTGTATACTTTTATTACAAATATTGTCTCATTAGTCACCAACTGTGCCACTGATGTTCGTTAGGTTCCTTGAAGTGTTTCAGTCTTGAAAAATGTTGGTCAATTTAGATTTTAAAATCTATTTCTTCACCTTTAGTAAGCTGCGCTTTCTCTGCTTTGCCTCTTGTCTTCCATTTCCGTGTCTCCTCACCTGCCTCCATGAAGCCTCACAGAGATGTCTGTGAGTAGCATTTCCTCTGCGGGCTCCGCTGGGGCCTCTGCTGTCCCCTCCGCCCGGCCGCGGCACCAGAAGTCCATGTCAGCGTCTGGACACCCTATCAAGGTCACGCTGCCAACCATCAAAGACGGCTCCGAAGCGTACCGTCCCGGGTAACGTCCTCCTCCAGCCGTTTTCTCTGTTGTTTTAGAGACTGCCGTGCTGTTTGAACACACAGCACACAGCAGCAAGAATCCAATGGCAAAATACAATTCCAAATCTGTCCTTCAAGCAAAATGTTACTGGCTAATTTATCATTTAAGTAAACTGAAATTTTCTGCTAATGAAACATACAACACAGCAGGCCCTGAGACCTGGCTCCTCCGTAACCCTCAGAAGCGATGACACGGTTGAGCGCCAAGATTTTGTGCAGGTGTAAGAATATCTGTCGCTGTTCTATGAAGTTCTCAAATTTCAGAACATTTTAACCTTTTTATAAGTAGATTTTTGTTAGCCATATTCTTAGTGCCGTGTAGCCTTGTGGTATCACTGAGGCCTAAAATTGGAAGTGGGAGGAGATTTGATTCAAATACTTTTTGATGAACAGCAACATTCACGTTCACATTCCTAAGCAGGATAAGAGAATGCAGACTGAGTAACCCTTATCTGAAAATGTTGGGATCAGATGCATTTTGGATTTTGAACTTTTGCAGATTTTGAAATATTTGCATAATGAGATATCTTGGGTTTGGGCACCAGGTCTAAAGGTGAAATGTATTAATGCGAATATGTATTTGGTGTATACCTTACACCTACCGCCAGCCCTATACACTCAGCTTAGAGTTCTTTTGAGTGTGACTTGTCCAGGAGGTTTGGAATTTTCCATTTGTGATGTCCTATCCGGCACTGAAAAAGTGCTGTATTTAGAGCATTTGGGATTTTACACTTTCCGATTATGGAGGCAGCGTGAAAGAATGCACGCAACCTGCAGTAAAACACAGATCCACACAGCACGGTGGCTGTGTGTCCCATCCTGACCAGCATTTGACCTCGTGTCTGTCCCAGTAATTTCTCAGTCTTCGGGCCCCAGTTGTTGTACCGCGTGTTCAGTTTCGCACTGAACCCCAGCCCCTCCGCGGGGCGGTGCGTCTTGCGCGTCGTGTGTTCTGACCCACGCCCCTGTGCCCGCAGGGCCGCCCCGAGAGCTCCCGCCGCCTCCCCGTCTGCGCACAGCATCAGCGCCAGCACCCCAGACCGCACGCGCTTCCCCCGAGGCAGCTCCAGCCGCAGCACCTTCCACGGGGAGCAGCTCCGAGAGCGCCGCAGCGCCGCCCACAACGGGCCGCCCGCGTCGCCGGCCCACGAGCCCGGGGCGTTCGCGCACGCGCGGCGGGGCACGTCCACCGGGCTCATCAGCAAGCTCACGTCCAAGTTCGTGCGCAGGTCAGTGTCCGGCGGCCTTCCACCTTTCGGTGATTTCTTCCAAAGCGGTTTCCTGAGAGCTGCTCTTCTGCAGGAATGGGAAGGAAAAATTGAGAAATACGTACTTTTTCCGTAATAGAAAAAGGGACAGAATGAGAATTTTAGAATTGTGTAAAATAGGGTGGAAGGAGCAAGAATTTAAGGTAAAAAAGAGCATGTGCTTCAATCAAAAGGTGAACTCATACTTAAAAGCCTTGCTCTTAAGAAAAGAAATTAAACATGAGTTTACACGAGTCTTTCAAATAGTGTTTCTTACCTTAAAAATATTTTTAAATTGCCTGCCAGTAATACATGTAGTCTACTTTTTTTCCCTCTTTGTATAAAAATTCTGTATACTAGAATCACATAGGTTTATTTAGCCTCAGAAAATTTTTACATAAAACACAGTAAAAATAGAACAAAAACGCATGTGATAAGTTTCTAATATAATCCAGTAGTACAGCTGTCCGTCTCTCCCAAACACCGGCGTCCGAGTGCCCCTGTGCTGAGCACGCAGCTGCCGCGCAGAGCGCAGTGGGCGAGGGCCTGACCGGGTGACCGGCAGGCTGCTCTGGCGCCCATGGAGCCTACAGGAGGCACAGACTAGGCCGTGAAGGCGACGGGGGGGGGGGGGGGGGGCCGCCCGTGCCCTCGGGCTTGGCGGCCTTGGGAGAAGCAATGACAGCGCTGAACAGCAGCCGCCCGCTGACCAGGCCGGGGCCAGTTGTTCGGTGTGGGGCTCCGGGCCTCCGTGCCAGTTGAGCTGGGCCTGCAGTAGGGTAGGAAGCCATCATGTGTGCTGGAGGGAGTGAACTGTCAGCACTGTCAGAGCTCCTAGGGTCTCGGGTGGGCAGGAAGAGAAGCAGCCGCTCCAGTCTCCGCCTTGTGCTGGAGCTGTTTGCAGATCTGCCCAGAGATCATTTGGCCAGAACCACCCGGCTCAGTTAAAGACTTTTGTCCCGAGCGCAGCATGAGGCCTCGCAAGCTCAGCTGGCATCCGCCGGGAAGTCGGGGTGGGGGTGGGGGGCTGCTGGCCGTCCGCGGGCCCCGCTCAGTCACCTGGTCACCTGGTCACTGGTCAGATCATCCTAGTTTCCTCCTGGGGAGCTCGGCTGACTACTTAAGGCCGTTTTAGAGGCCAGCACTTTCTCAGGCTAAGCCAGCATTCAGCCAGTGAAGGCAAGCAGACGGCATGTAATGCTTACTTGCTGGTTGTGCATCGTGCCTCATGGAAGATGCTTCTCTTTACTTCTCGATGAGAATTAGCTCCAAGAGGAAGGTGGGGAAGAGTGCCCGGACAGGAGGGCCGGGCCGGGGATGCCACCGGCGGCCTGGGAGTCGTGGGTGAAGGGCAGTCACAGGCTCCACGCCTGAGTCGGGGGACCGTGCCCGGTGCCGCGGGCACCTGTGAGGTTGCTCCGGCCCCGCCTGTCCGCCGGGGGCTGTGTCACCCCGCTGCCCACACTCGCACACTCGGCCCGGGGCTGTTGTCTTCTCTTAGCTCCGTTTTTCCAGCTGGTGCTTTTCAGTCCCCTCGCCCTGGACCCTGCATGTCAGGATGCCCAGGTCCCAGTCTTGGGCTGCATCTCGCCCGTAAGTAAGCAGTAAATGCAAAACCTATTTTTCTTCACTGGCTGAATGCTGGCTTAGCTTGAGAAAGTGCTGGCCTTTAAAAATAGCCTTAAGTAGTCAGCCGAACTCCCCAGGCAGAAACTAGGATGATCTGCTCAGTAACAGCTTCCAGTTGCGCGTCTGTGGCCCCGGTCTGCAGCCTCGCCTGCCCTGTGCTGCTCCCAAACAGAATGTGTCGCACTTCACCTCCTGCCCTTCCACCCCTGTCCCCTGCCCTCTGGGCCTGTGGAAGCGGTGACGCGGTCCCTGCAGCTCAGGAGGAAAGCCTTGGCCTCGTCCTGGGTGCTCTCTTACCGAAGCGCATCGTCTCCCTTTGCTCCGCCCTTGCGGCAGTTCCGGCCCTGAGCAGCTCCCACCACCCTACCACTGCCTTTGCAGCGGAAACTACTCCTGGACCTACTTGTCCGCCATGTTGCTGCTGCTGCTGCCCGGGCTGCACTTTTGTACTGGGAAGTCTGAGCAAGTCCCTCCTCAGGGTACACCCTGGGTGGGGCTGAGTCGAGTGCCCCCCAAGTGTGTGTGAGGTGCTGGGCTCAGTCCCAGGGCCGAAAAACAAGCAAACGCAGAAACCACCCGTGTTCTTCTTGCTTGGGTGCTGTCCAGAGGCCTTGAGGTGGCCTTCATGAGTCTGGCTGCCCTTTCCTTTTCTCCCACTTCCTCTGCTGTCCCCTCACCTGACACTTGGGCACCTGGTTGTGTCCTCCGGTCTTGACGCTGCCCCTGGGCTTTGTGCCTGCCGTTCATGCTTTCCAGAGCTCTCTGCCCACAGAGAAAAAATTATCATTCTTTCTGGAACGCTTAAAACAGGAAGACAGCTTTAAACTAAGAGTTCGAGTTGGTGGTTTTTCCCCACTACTTAAAAGTGTTTGGCTCTGCCAAAAAGCCATGTCTTGACTGGGGATTTAGCTCAGTGGTTCTTCCGCCTGCTGCACAACCGCAAGGACCTGAGTTCCATCCCTGCTACAAAAAAAAAGCTGTTTCTTATTAGTTTCAAATTAATGTAAACTCGATACTCCTAGCTAGATAATTAATTACTCTCAAAAATGACAAAGTGATTAAACTGTTGGTGGACTTCAGTTACCTTCAACATGAGGACAGCTGGTAGCATTTTCTGGGTTTCGTTCCACAGGTGGATACACAGGTAAGATCAGTGTTTGTGTTTAAGACTGAATCTATGGTTTAGACTGAACTTTTCTGACAGGCTGTGCATGGGTTGTCAGCAGAACTTCTGAAATACATTGGTTGCTTATTTAAAAGTTAATATTTATTGTTAGAAATACCTACATGTTGAGCTTTCTTTCTTTTTTTTTTTTTTTGGTACTGGGGATTGAACTCGGGTCCTTGCATTTGCAAGGCAAGCAGCGGAACCACTGAGCTAAATCCCCAGCCCTTGAGCTTTATTTCTAATTACAAGGTTAATTTATATATTTTCTCAGTCGAGCAACTACTGAAATCATATATAACAATGTGAAGTTTAATCTTGCTGTTTGTAAGTATGAGTTTTAAATTCAGAGAATACTGAACTAATCCAAAAGGTAAATCATGACATTAACATCGTGGCTGGGAATTGGACTATCATGTAAAAATAAAGCTTAAACTTTCCCTTGGTATCTCCTCCTGACAAACCCCAGTACACGCCCAATCAATGGCAGGCACACAGGGTCACAATGGAAATCATGTGAAATGGTATTAGACCAACTGGCAATAAAGCTGTTGTGGTAGAAGTCTGCTCAACAAGTTAATGTGAAAATCATTTTAGAGGTGGGCTTTCTTGGTATAATTTTCACGTCTGTCATTAAAAATCTCAACTTTCACTTTGTTTTGAGGGATCCGAGTGAAGGCGAAGCCAGTGGAAGAACAGACCCGTCCAGGTAAGGAGGCCCGCCCCTTCTCCGAGGCTGGGTCCCCACGCATGCACAGGGGCCTCCCTGTTCATCAGCACTTCGTAGTGGTGATATTAGCAACCAGCCAGCGTGTGCACCGTAAAGTATTGCGTTGGGGTGGGTTTCTGGTGTTGCCCTGTCTTTAATGACATTTAAGCTAATGAACTTGAAGTTTGTGTTTTCCTAACCTTATTTGGAGTTGCGTACTTGGTAAAGGAATAGCCTTTCTGTTTGCTAAGACACGTCATGGTAGGTGTTGATAGATCAAAATGTTCTGATCCTTTTCTCACTAGTGGGTTGTAACTAAACCTGGCCTATGTCAGACCAGACAGGTACACAGGCTGCCAGGGGCTGCATGTGCAGGACGGTGTGGTACTAGTGGTGTATCTTAGGGGAAAAGTGTTAAATTGTCACTTGCGGCTGCAAATTTGTTTTCCACGAACAAATGTGTTTAGGGAAATATGCTAAATTCTCCGAGTGCTATTGAGGATGCTGGAAGCCCTGCCTATGGCTTTGGGTCTTGCCTTCACAGCGGCCTCGAGGCATGGTACCTGTCAGGCGGACTGCATGCTGCGTAGCTTTGCTAGACCTGGAGCTATGACCATGAGGTTTCTGTGTGTGTTTGATCTCTTCTCTGAGCGAAATTTTGCTTTCCTTCTTTCCCTTCACCCTCTTCTTGCAGAAGTGTGTCTGGGGAACCAAGAGAAAGAGACAAGGAAGATAGCAAAGACTCCAAGCCCCGGTCCCTGCGGTTCACATGGAGCATGAAGACCACGAGCTCCATGGACCCCAACGACATGATGCGCGAGATCCGCAAAGTGCTGGATGCAAATAACTGCGATTACGAACAGAAGGAGAGGTTCCTGCTCTTCTGTGTCCACGGGGATGCGCGGCAGGACAGCCTTGTGCAGTGGGAGATGGAGGTGTGCAAACTGCCACGCCTGTCGCTCAATGGCGTCCGCTTCAAGCGAATATCGGGGACGTCCATTGCCTTTAAGAACATCGCATCCAAAATAGCAAACGAGCTTAAACTGTAAGATGTCCATGCTGACGGATCAGGGAAGACACACCTGTCTGCGGGGCAGTGCTGACTGTACTGGCCGTGGTGGCATGGTCTGCTGTGAACCTCCCGCTGTAGAACCTGCCCTGATGCAATAAGGTTATACATAGTTACCAGCTGTACAATTAAAATCCGTATGAGCTGTAATAAATATCTGTAGCTTATACAGTAGGTTCACATGTACAGGTAAGTATATTGTGTATTTCTGTTCATTTTCTGTTCATAGAGTTGTATAATAAAATATGGTTGCTTAAAAACTTGTATAGTTGTCTAGATTTCTGCACATAATGTATGTTTGATGCTCTGTCTTGAAATGTTTTTCCCTGTTACTTACGTCCTGGTGGGTTTTTACAATTCTTACCTCCATCATACAACTTTGAAAACTGTCCAGGATTAAAAGTGCACAGAACTTGTCTTTACAACTGTAGCATGGACTTTTAAAAAATTATTTAAAATCATATTTAAATTTCAACCAGAAGCGGATAAATAGATCTGTTTATTATACACAGAATTATTCCTGCTTATCTTTGCTCTTAGCCTTGTCATGAAACAAGGTTTCATTGAGGAGATACAAAATGTTTACAGCGTTGGCACTTAGAGTTTCTACACAAAGTACATGAAAATAAATAATAGCTTTGCCTTGAGCTAACTAGGAAGTACTGGAGAAAAAAAATTAAAACCTATACCAAGTTTCCTTTGAACTTTGAAGAGTTTTCTGACCCAGTAATCGCAGCAGCGGAATTGAAAAGCATCGATACTTCATCCGGTGACTCGTTGTAACCATGGCTTAGGCTGGCTGCCTCCGATGCCCGCAGTCACTGCAGATGTACAGTAATACGGGACTGTTCACGGCACAGACGCCTCGCTCCAGTGCTGGTCAGTGGTCAGTTAAGAGAGAATGCCACCTCAGGAATTACCACCCCTGGGAACACTGGCCCCAGGCCCTCGCCCTCTTGGTCCACCCCACCTCTGCGTGTCTGTGACACTGAGGGACTCGCGAGCAGAACACGCCATTGGTGACAGTTTATCATGGATTTAAGCGTACGTGGTTGTTCAGTTTGTTCCCATGTAATCCATTTGTTCTAAGTATTTTGCCAGATTTCTTGTATTTATTCCACCTTGTTATGCCTATAACGTGCAGCTTTGTAATGGGGCATTTGCCAACTTTTCTTTCATAATCAGTGACACATGCTATGTGAAGACACTAGTAAAGGTGCATTTTAATACTTGTTATTTTATACTGAATTAGCCCTGGAGGTTGACTGTGCAATGTTATTTAATGTGTAATTACTGTAATATCAGCATATGGACCCCATCTGCCCACTTCTGAGAAATAGTGTATTCAGGTGTTATCAGTTTAAAGAATAATAAGGCTGTGATAAATGCTGTCCTCCTGCCCTGCGTGGGACGCTCCGAGCACAGGGGACCTGCGTGGCCAAGTGGCTTCCAACCCAAGGTGAACTCTATGTCGTGTGCCGTGCTGTGCTGTAGCTTTCTTCTGTAACAGTTCTGTTCTGAAATGAAGTGTACTCTTGCCTTAGCAAAGGGTGGTGTTTGAAAAAAGCAGAACAAAGCTGTGTAGCCCCTTTTTAACCTACTGTTCATCCAGGACATGGACGCAGCCTGGCGCACTTTCACAGGTGCACCCTGCAGCATTACTTGGGCTGTTCTCATAATAAAGCACTTGTCTTTGGCTCTTTATCAGAATGTGAATTACCTGTTTTCTAGTAAAAAAAAAAAAGTGTTCTGTATGGGTTGGGAGGTATGTGTTCTAAATTTAGTTGGCAAAATGTCATTATGACAAGAGAATTTCATTTTTACAGGCATGCCTATCATTGAAATACTTTTCAAAAAATAGACTTCGTGCTTTTTTCAAGGTAGAAACTGATGTTTTTTATGTCTTCTCCTGCTAGCCAGCTCTTCTGTTTTGTGGCAAGGAATTTTACTTCAATAGTTTTTATGAACTACAAATGAAATCTTGATATTCACTTTATATTTCCATTTTATATGTTCATGACAGCATAAATATTCTTTTGAAGACTTCAAAGAATTTTAAATATGTTTGCATAAATAAATACCAGTTTATATTCACTGGCTATGTGATAGCAGGATTTCCTTGGCTTCTGTGGAAATACATTTGCTATGACATCCCTTACATTAAATTAATTATTCTGTAGAAACTGGGGCACAGTTTTTTATTTACTAAATAAAAATCAGAGGAAATAAATTCCAGAACCTTGACCTGCTAGGTATTTAAGACCCAAAAGGCTTTATTATGAGGTGATATTCACCATAAGTATCCTTTCTCAATTTGAGCAACAAAAATAACATGTGATGAATGAGGTATCAGTTTATCGTGCATGATTCTGTTAGCCTATGTAATCAAGATCATCTATGCCTTCATTTTAAAAATATCTGTTGAGTACCTGCTGTGTCTCAGTATACATAAGGAATTGTAAGAGATGGCTCCTGTCTCATCAAGACACTGATCCATTTGGGAAGACAAAATGTAAGCACGTGCACACCGAGAAAACAAATAGGAAACAGTGGGAGTGAGCCTCAAACACAGGCAAGAGATACTATGAAACTCAGAGAACAGTATGCCTCTTACAGGAACCAGAAAGGCCATGAGGCAGAATGGAGAAGACCCTCCTTGTGGAAGGAACATGTGAGGGAAGACTCAAAGGTAGTGACAGCTATAATGTACGTGTAGAGAGGGACTGTATATTCTAGAGTGTGGCAGGGCTCACGTAGACTGAGTAATAGCGGATTATATGGAGCACCAATAGCAGCTTCAGCTTTGACTTCATCTGTGTTTAGAGGGGAGCAAAGAAATGTTTTAAGCCAAGAAAGAGCCTAATACATTTGTGTTAAAGAATTATAATTTTTTTATTTAGCAAAGTTGTTGAGTACAAATATACTTCAGATTCTAAATTCTTGGGAAAACAGCAGTAACAAGAAAATCTAGATCTGATATAATGTTCAGGCAAGCTTGAAGACTAAAGCCAGGGAGATCTTTTCAGAAGTTATTAACAGTAAAGCATCTTAGCACAGATAGAGGTAGTTAGCACAAGTTGGAAAGGGTATGTTTGAGAAGCATTTCAAAAGATGAATCTGGGCTTCTGAAATGAACAGACACTTCTCAGATGAAGAAATACAAACAGCAAATAAATATATGAAAAAGTGTTCAGCATCACTGGTCATTTGAGAAATGCAAATTAAAATACCGAGATTCCATCTCACTCCAGAAACAATGACTATCATCAAGAAATCAACCAATAACAAATGCTGGTGGGGCTGTAGGGAAAAAGGAATCCTCCACTATTGGTGGGAGTGTAAATTGATACAACCACTATAGAAATCAGTATGGCAATTCCTCAAAAAACTACAACTAGAAATTCCATTTGACCCAGTTATTCCCCTTCTAGGTATCTTCCCAAAAGCATTAAAGACATCATACAACGGTGATATATGCACACCCCATGTTTATGCAGCACAATTTATAATAGCTAAATCCTGGGAACAGCCCATATGCCCATCAATAAATGAGTGGATAAAGAAAATGTGGTATTTATATACAATGAAGTATACTTTGCCAGATAAACTTGAGACACTTTTAGGCAAATGGATGAATCTTGAGACCATAATTTTAAGTGAAGTAAATCACACACCCAACTTTTCAGCATTGTTTCTCTTGTGTGAAAAAGCAAAAGGGTAAATAAAAAGCAAGATGGAGGATTGACATTGGGAAGTAGGAAGAACTTATTCAAATGGGACAGGGCACAAGGGAGGGGGGAAGAAGGAAGGGAGAAGGGATTTTTAAAAAGAACGGAAGGGGGAAATGGAAACAAAACTTTCATAAATGGGGATGGGAAGAAGTGTTGAGAAGAGGGGAGGTGAATGGAAAAAGGGAGTGGGAATATTACATGCACACTCCTTTGATGAATATGATCATTATGCATGGTGAACATGTACTCAGAAAAATCTTTCAAAAGAACCCACATAGAACCCACCCTCAACACAAAACAAGATGAATCAACAAAATATCATGAGTAGGATTTGGGGACTGTGAAGATGAGTGAAGTTCCCAAACACGACTCAGTTTCCCTATGAAGATAGCCACCCAGCTTCATCTACTAGTGAGTGTCAGACGGAATCTCCCAGCTAAGACAGTGAAAGAACAGGCAAAATATATTCAGAGCTTCACACAGTGTCAAAACCAAAAGGTCCCCTAGACATTGGACACGAGTCCACAAAAGACATCGTCCCTCGGAGGAACAGCTGGAATGGGGCCTCCCACTGGCTCCACTCTGTGTCGTGAGAGAATGGAGGAGGAAACCCCAGAGTTGGCTGCATTCTCCCTAGTTAAAAAGTCAGAACTAAGAGACCAGGGAGGGCCAAGACACGGTCTGCAGGGCAGAGCCCTGGAGGGGAGTGCGCCACGCAGGGGTCTGCAGAGGTGAACACATGCGTGTGAAAACCACCCCAGGCCAGGGAAGGAACCACCTGATGGTATGAGAGGAAGCAGTCACTGAACCTTGTGCAAGAGAAGTGCCTGCTTGCCCAGCCATCCAGAAAACTGCCCCTGCTGTGGAACCAGTCAGTGGGAATAGTATCAAGAAGAGCCTGCCCTGGTGGCCCTGGACCTAATGCTGCTTTGGTCCTGCTTAACAAAGCAGTATCCTGAAGGATAAATGTTTCTAGGTAACTGAAGGACCCAAAACAAAGCTTAAGAACATTTTCAAGAATACAAAACTTTTATCACCCAGCAAGGGAACTTGCATGCACCACATCCAACATCTGCTCCGGGTCATCCTGCCCATGAATGTGCAGGAAAGTGTGACTCACAGTGGGGAAGGAGAAGACGCCAGTCAAGGCTGAGCCAGCCGTGGTGGAGGTATTTGGATCAGTGCATAAGGACTGAAAACAGAATTGTGCCTGGCTCGGAGCATGGAGGAGAGGTTACATGGGTTAAATTAGAGCAGTAAGTGGTGTAGAACACAATCCAGATGCTTGGAAATGAAAGTTACAATTTCTGAGAAGAGCAAAGTGGATGGAGTCAATAGAACAGATGTTGCAGGAGGTAAGATATGGGACTTGAAGATGGCAATAGAAACTATCCAAAGTGAAACAGAAAACCACAGCTAAAAGATGCACTGTGGGAAAGGACCAGCCCCCTGCCCCCTTTACCACAGACTGCAAAGCAACGAGGGGCTTCACTGCAGAGTGACTTGACACAGCAGGCAACAGCGGGAGGAGAAACCCCGGGCAGCCCCTGCCCCATTGCTGGGCAGCATTCAACCAGGCACCACTTCAGGAGCGGGTGCAGCTCCCAACCCCAGAGGATGGGAGGCTAGGCAGAGAAAACCCAGTATTGCATTCCAAAACTGTAGAGCCTGCGAAAAAAACTCTTGTTCACATACACAGAAAAATTGCTTTCTTGAGCACACCTTTTTCCTCTTTCTTCTCCACAAGGTTTTTTTGGGGAGTGGTTAGGGAATTTTCTTTATCTTTCTTTTTTCCTCTTAATTTTTTTCTTTTATATATATTCTTTTCTTATTTGTTCTTTTCTCATACCTTTGTTAATTCTATTAAATTCTTTTTACTCCTAACAGTCCTTTGTTTCTCTTTCCTGTCCTCCATTGCTTAACTTTTCAAACATTTCTTTCACTCTCCAATTCCCCACCCCCTCTGTCTTTACTAGTATAACCATTGAGCTTTATTAATCTTTATGTAGTTAACTCTATGTTATTACTGGTGAATTCTTTTTATTGTTAGTGGAGGCACAGTGGTACCTTGGTTCACAAATGCTTTTGTTTGCAAACAGTTTGGTTTGCAAACAGAAGCATTTGGCAAAATTTTGCTTTTGTTTGCAAACTCTGCATCAGTTGACAAATACGACCACGGCATTCCTTCCCACACAAACACAAACATAGCCATCTTTTCCAAAATTGTAGAAAAAAATAAGTTCATGAACCAAGGTACCACTGTATAGTTGTCACCATTAGGAGATATTACTGCACATCAATATTTGGTTTGTCTTAGAGTTATACTAGAATCGTACATCTCTTTTCTGTGGTAGGAGTGGTACCTGCCCGCTGCAGGGCTATCTCCAACGCCCTGGACACCCACCCAACCACAAGTGCATTGTTCTTTGTGCACACGGCTGTGGGAAGGTCCATTCCATCAAGCTGAATTTAAGCAAAAACCCACAAGTCAGTCAAAGGTCCTGGCTGGTGTCAGGTGGTCCTTGGCACCCACTCAATGGAACTGGTTTCACCCCAAAGGGGCACAAAAGTGGCAGCTATTTCCTGTCATTACCAGAGAGAACCACTAGAGGGCAGAGAGCCCCTGCCACCTGTCTGCAACTGAGGATGCATCCGGGAGAGCACTGGGTCAGCAAGGGACTGGGAGTGCTGTAGTCAGGGTTTGCAAGGGAATAGATTTAATACGGAACACATAATTTATAGGATTGTTTTATAGCAGTCACCTAAAAATTCAAATGCAGAGGAGTGGAAGAGATCTGTCCACACGCTAGAGACCCGAAGAATACAGGATCCCAAGGCAATGTCCCGCACAAGTCCAGCTCCAGGCTTTGAGCCCATGCCGATGTCTCATGCAAGTCTGTGTCGAGGGTCTGCACCAGGAAGGCCCAAGGCCAGCGGTGGAAACTAGAAAGCCTGTACCTGTGGGATGAGGCTCTGTGTCACCAGGCTGAGGGATCTGCCCTGGAGCCAGGAA